CGTGAAATGAGTACATGTTTATTATCAAAATAAACACACGAACAAAACAACGTAACGTGACGTCCTCAGGCTAAACACAATACAAGCCTATACACGGAACAAGATCCCACAACTAATGATTGCAAACAGGCTACTTAAGTATGATCGCCAATCAGAGACAACGAGCGACAGCTGCCTCTGATTGGGAATCACACCCGGCCAAACATAGAAACACAATAACTAGAATGTGAACATAGAAATAATAACATAGAACTCCACACCCTGACTCAACATACTAGAGTCCCATGAGTCAGGGTGTGACACACATGCTGGTCCCCCGTTGTGACCATTTTCCCCAGCATGTCTGTGCAGTCAGACCTTTGATTATGTTGTGCCACCAGGGCCACAATAATGTGTAGTGCAGTACTTACCAGTTTGTGAATTTAGAGTATTTGAAAATAAACTCACAATGGGAAAATATGAATGAGCAACATGATTGACGGGTATAACAATATGTAGATAAAAGATTAAAAGTGTAAAATGTAAGTAAAGTGTTACCATAATTTTTTATATGTACATAAAAAAAATACCCTCAGTACCCTCTGTGCAGCTCTAGTGTGGTGCTAGTTATTGGGTTATTGGTACATGTGTTGCAGCAAGATATTGTATTATCATTAAATTGTTTTATTCTTCTTTATTTTTTAGAAAGTGTTGGCGGATTTGTTTTACCAAAGCAATATTCCTCAAAGCCATGACAATACACCATGGCCTCTCGGGCATTGTTGCTTCAACCTACACATTTCACAGAAATGGATTTTCCACACAAACAAACACATGAATATCATTGTTGTAGCCAATCATTTGACTTACACTGGAAACTGATTTTAATTAGTGTTTGTTTTTTATTAAACACTTAACAGTTCATTCAATTTTCAAGGTAAATGCAAAGCGTGCCAAGTTACAGGGTGTAACTTGTGGTGTTTCCGACTTAACTTGGGTGGAAGACACCGGCTGTGTCACGTATGGATAGACAACATATCTCTATGGTGTCACGGTACACAGTTATTTTCTATGCATAAATATAAGGCCTTTCTCCTCCTGCCAATAACTGCTTTGTGTTTGATCATAATGATATACTGTATATGTGCGCTGTAATTATATATTTTTCAGTGATTGGGCTTAAGGGATGGACCAGATAGATCATCAAACAACTGCACATCAATGGTCATCTTGCGGCCAGCTGGAAATCCTTCCAAATCCACAACACTTTTAAAAACATTTTTTTTCAAAATAATGATTGATTTCAGCTAGATATGTATTCCATTAGAACAGCTCATACAAGTGATTAAATCTCTTGTTGTGTCGTTAGAAGAATCTATGCCAGTAATGTATGCCAGGAACATCATGCATGCTGGGGATTGGAATGTCTACCCAAGCACTGAATGTACCAAGCAAGCTCATCATAACTCTACAAACTGCCCTGGGTTACCCCAGATAAAGTATCAGTTGGAAATCTCCCACCCATAAGCTGGTTTTGCAGCAATGTTAGTCATCCATTAACAGCATATCATTGCATACAAGTGTTTTAGAGGTGGGTCATGAACATTAGGGTGAACGTGGTCAAAGGCATGATGCCCATAGGGGCCACAGGGGCATGTTAAAAAAACAAGTATATATTTATCTGTTGTTGTTTCTCTGTAATACTTCTAGCCACCTAGCAATTTTATGAAGTTAGCTTTAGCTAGCCCAGATAGATTCCCAATCTCCCAACCTCATAACTAGCTACCAAGATGCCATTTCAGGCTGTCAATAAAGTTACAATAGCTAGCTTGTCTAACTATCTTAGCTGCTATGACTGTTGGCAATGTTGTTAGACTTTAGAAAAGCAAGCAATTACTAAACGTACTGAATAAGACTCACATTCCCCTCAGATTTTTGAGGTGCATGACGCCTCAGAATGTGACCCAGTGGTATGAGTCTCTCTCTCTCTCTCTCTCTCTCTCTCTGGTCTCTCTCTCTCTCTGGTATCTCCCTCTCTCTCTGGTCTCTTGGCACAACTTACAATGACGGCCTACACCGGCCAAACCCGGACGACGCTGGGCCAATTGTGCGCTGCCCTATGGGACTCCCAATCACAGCCGGTTGTGATACAGCCTGGAATCAAACTAGGGGGTGAGTAGTGACGCCTCAAGCACTGAGATGCAGTGCCTTAGACCGCTGCGCCACTCGGGAGCCCCAAGGCAAACATTTTGACTATATTAGCCCATACAGCTACAAGGATGCACTTTCATAATAGGTTTAGGACCTCATATTGAAGTTTACAGAGACCCCAACTGATGTATAGAACAATCTTAAAAGTATCTACTTTGGTTTATGAAAAAAAATATATGCACTCACTAACTGTAAGTGGCTCTGGATAAGGGTGTCTGCTAAATGACCAAAAATGTAAATGTGATTTTTTTTTAGATACAAGCATCATGAACCTCTAACACAATACATTCATTTGACTTCGTAAAAAAAATCCGTTATATATTTTTTTTAACCTAAATTGCTTACCACTTTTTCCATGTGCTTTCTTCCTTCACATACTCCATGAAATGATTACCTCTTCCTAAATAGTTGGTCAAATTATTATTTTGGTGTATGGTTTCCCCTAGAAACAAGGGTGGCTCAACTTACCCCACTCTCCCCTACCAAGAACAGAAATTGCATAGAGAGAGGAACACCTCCTCAACACTTTCACTGTCTGGTGGAAACATGATTGACAGTAATTACAGCTGTCTTTTTGAATAAGTATATACCAACTTTGTACACCCCTTATTCCTTTTATTTGTCCCATATGGCAGTCAAATACATTGAACTGAAGAAGAAGGACATTCACAAAGATAAGAGGCATTGCGGCGGAAAACAGTAATTTAAAATATACAGGATAACAAGCATAAAAACCCAGAGCAAAACAAGACAGGCCACTGTGGGGTTTTCATGGAGGATCTCTTGCTTCTCATCTTAGCTGTAGTTGTCTGAAAATAAATAGGAAATACAATTTGTATTACATGTGTATTTTCCCCAGGCACATTATTCCTATTTAAAATGCACAAAGTGACTGCAGGCGACACTGTGCTTTCACAGTTTTCCCCCCACAATGGTGTTGCTCTAAGAATGCCAGTGGGGGGCAGTTAAGAACCAAGGCAAGATTACACTGAAGTTCATACAGGGCGGGACAGATAATACTAGGTGGATTAGAGTTTCACTGGTTGTATCCATGGTTACATCTCAGAATTCAATATTTGTGATTGTATAGAAGACTGATTTCCTCTCACTACTGGTATTATGTCTCACTTCAACTCGGCTTCTGATTGAAATTCGGTGATTCTGGTGCAGAGCAGTGGTGCAAAGTACTTAAAGGAAAGGGTCACCGATTTTGAAAGCTGTATTGTTTTTTGTGCATCTCTGAGTGATGTTCCATTGATTCCATGGGTCATTTATTGTTTTCATGTGTATCTGAGTTATTGTCGTTCAAGCAGGCAGAAATACAGCCGGTATGACGTAGCACTGTGATAAAGTTGCTCTCACTACACTGGAAGTTAATAGGAATACGACTTTTAGATCACGAAAACGTCTATAACGCATGTCAGATTTCAATACTGGCCAATCTCAAAAACTTGGCAGGATGTCTTCTCTCAAATGAGCCATTGATAATATTTTTTTGTGATATTCCTACCTCGAGAAATGTGTAATTTAACGGAGGGTCTAGCACATTTTTCCTATTGGTCTGCCTCTTTAGTCTAGGGTGCATTGCATGGTGCCGTTGCCATAGATATTATAGAAAGGAGATAGGAATCCAATGAATGAAGGAACGTATAACGCCCCACCCAGCCGACTGTCGACCAATCACATTCATGTTGTCATGCAGCGTCTTGCGTTGCTAAGCTAATCGTCACGCAATCCCTTCTCAAAGTCAGTGTATATGTCGAGAAACTTGCCTATTTTTCTAGAAAATACGTAATGTCATGATTACAAAGCTATACGATATTACAGATAGCAAGTTAATTATCTCACATCTCTGAAGATTTGTAGTGTTGTACTTCTTGTTGATGAAATTCATGCTAATGTTGGGTTTTTGAGCTAGCGCCCAATAGACTCCCATTCACTCCTTGAAGGAGAGCGCTCCTTGTCCCAGAATCGCCCAGAATACACCTTCGCAGCCCATTGACGTAGCATGGTCAATGTTTCCCATTTCCTCAAAAGTATATCTGCCATTGCGAATGTTAGACTCCACTCTGTGAGGCACATCAATCTATAGGTTGGTGAGATTGTAGACTCCTAAATTGATAGTGCAGTTTGTTTAGGCGATTTTACAGCTAACTAGCTACTTTACATGCTGATATTGTCTTTAGTATTATTGTGTGTAGCTACGTTTGCTAGCTAGCTACCTAGCTATCTAGCTAGCCAGCCAGCCCATAAAGAGAGCATTGCATTGTGGATTTTGTAGTTGACTTGAGCTGCAACAGATTTGCACAACGATTTTCCATATTGCTACCAACCTTATTATAACGCCAAAATGAAACATTTGTTCACAAAAAACATTGGTCTCACGTATAAGTGTTATTTAACACTGTACATTAAAGGAATGAGTGGTTCTGGGTGGATATTTCCTTTAAATAAAACAATATTTCAAAGTACTACTTAAGCCTTTTTGGGGGGGGGAGGGGGGTATCTGTAATTTACTTTACTATTTTTGACAACTTTTACTTTTACTCCACTACATTCCGAAATAAAATAATGTACTTTTTACCTACATTTTCCCTGACACCCAAAAGTACTCGTTACATTTAGAATGCTCGGGCGGGATAGCAATGTGTTCCAATTCACACCTATCAAAAATAACACGTTGTCATCCCTACTGCCTCTGATCTGGCGGACTCACCAAACACAAATACTGCGTTTGTAAATGACGTCATACCTGGGCTAGCCTCCTCTCTCCAGGCCTCCAAGTTCATTGATGGTATATTGTCACACAAGAGAAAACCATCTGGGTATTTCCCAAACCTGAAGGGGTCAAGAGGAGTCTCTTTCACTTCACTGTTGTCACAGATGACGCGAGATAGAGAGTGCCTTAGAAGTTCCGCCCTCTGACCCTGTGTAAACACACCCTCACTCTCCCACCAGAACCTGAAAAAAAAAACATACAGTAATTCATTGATAGTAATAATATTCAGTCCAATACAGTCAGAGGAAGGCTTCAGTATAGTGCATACTTAGGGGTCCAAGCAGCAAATACTACAACAATGCTTCAACAGTGTATCTAATACCGGTTATGTTTTCCATTTAGTATCTGTTAATGTGTTTCAAAAAAGCTCACCTGTCCCCGTCTCGAATCATCTTCATCTGTTTTCCAATGAGGCATGAAAAGAGTGGACCAGTCCTGGCGCCAGACAGAGGTTCCTCCACCAGCCCTCCTAACCACACGTCAATGTTGTCAGGATGTCTGTACAGGTCCATTATCTTTCCAACAACACTTGCATCCTTTACAACTTCTCTGAAATCGTCTTGAGTCTCTATTCTGTCAAGTCCACAGAACGTCCTCCAATCATTGTAACCTGGAACATAATTATAATACAATTGCATTATGCCTGTTTACTAGATTATTAAAAACAGATCTTCACAGTGGACTACTGCAGCGCCATTAATACTTTTTTTTAAAAATTTGGTTGGATTTCAATTCGATTTGTTTAAATTGTCCTAATGATTGACTCCTGTTAATGGGTAACACTGACCTGGAAGTCCATGATCACGTCCCCTCTGCAGGTTGAGTGCGGCCAGGTCCAAGCCCCCTGGGACAGTAAGCACCACCAGTCTCTCTGTGAGCTCCTCCGTCAGTAGGTTGTCTGGGGTCACTACAGCTGCCGGCGTCCCCAACAGGCCTCGGAGGACTGGCTCTAGTCCACCTTTCGTGGAGGTAAAAAAGATGACAACATTTCACAATACAATTTCCACTTGCAAACACATTATTCTCCGCAATAACAGCAGGGCTAGTTGTGTAAATATGAAAAGTCCCTTTCATTGCAATAAAATGCATAGCTGTGGGACGAAATCAATTCGGTCTGCCAGTAACCACTGTCCGCTCTAGTTAGGCATCACCTTGGATGTTCGGTAATGTATTCTGGAGCAGCTCACAGGATTATTCCTATTTTAAAATGCCAAATAACAGTGCCAAGTCTCTATCAAGTTTAACAATATCCTATGAACAGTACTAACAATACTTTAACTTTATAAGGGAGCCCCATGTTAACTGTAGTACGGTTATAGACTTCAGAGGCTACATTACTTAGTAGAGTTCGCCTGTCTGTGTCTATTTAGACAATTCATGATAAGTGGGAATATGTCCTGCACGAAAACATCATGCAGTATAGCCTGAAATGAGTCCGCTGTGATTAAACATAATGCTGTATAGCCTTTAATGAGTCACCTGTGATAAAAACATAATGTTGTATAGCCTTTAGTGACTCGCCTGTGATTAAACATAATTTGATATAGCCTAATGAGTCCCCTGTGATTAAACATCGTGTTGTGTAGCCTTTAATGAGTCCCGTGTGAATAAACATCATGTTGTAAAGCCTTTAATGAGTCCCCTGTGATTAAACAGTCAGATGTAGATATACAGTATGTAATCATATGCATATTCTTTATATCCAATGCCACCTTATGCCCATGAATTTAAGATTAATGTAAAAGTACAACTTAAGGTAGGGTTTTCACTTTCTTTAAAAATCATGGGAATTTTGTCCACAAAATAATTAGTTGACCTGAGAGTTTCTACAAAGTATTGATGGACTTATAAATTAATTATATATACCCATTGATTCTTTAAGAATATAACTTATAAATGCCTAATGAGCTTAGTTCAACTGTTGTACACCATCAGAACCCCAGAAAATATTTTATTTACAGTGTTTGTAAAGATTGGAAAAAAACACTGTATCGCCTCAACACATGGTTCAAACTATAATGTTGATATCTTGGATGGTCAGTCCTTGCATCCATAGCTCCATCTATACATTTGAGTGGTTACATTTCTCCAGGCCCATCCCTCAGCTTTTTCTTTTTACCAAAACAGGGGTGGGGATGCCCTTCGTCAACTAAGGATTGGCCCTTAAAGTGTTTAGTATGCAACACTCCACCCTATTAGTTCCAATAGTATGCAGCATATGAGAATACCAACCCTCTTTCACGAGTCTCCAGGGACTGAAGAAAGTCTTATGCAGACTCAAAGAGGGGAACTGTTCATGTTCCTGGAAGCTCTGGTTGAGTCGCTTGAGAACAGAGGGAATAGTGGCATGGCCGAATCGGAATGCAGCGGTGGAGAACACATTGGAGGCTGAGGGCTCTGTAGTCGGATCATAGCCCCCATAGGGACCAATGTAAAGATCAAAAGCCTCTCTTCCAATGATTTTGGGAACATAATCCCTGGTGGTTATAATCTGGGGGCAAATACAGGAAAAAAAAGCAAAAGGAGACCTTTAGTTAAGTTTAGAAAAATAAGACATTTTGCAATCTAGAAGTTTCTATGTCCATTCCTAAATATATTCCTAAATATATATATTCCTAAATATATATATATATATATATATACATACATACAGTGAGGGGAAAAAGTATTTCATCCCCTGCTGATTTTGTACGCAAATAATAATAAACTTACCATTAAAATTATAGACTGATCATTACTTTGTCAGTGGGCAAACGTACAAAATCAGCAGGGGATCAAATACTTTATTCCCTCACTGTATATATATACAGTGGGGAGAACAAGTATTTGATACACTGCCGATTTTGCAGGTTTTCCTACTTACAAAGCATGTAGAGGTCTGTCATTTTTATCATCGGTACACTTCAACTGTGAGAGACGGAATCTAAAACAAAAATCCAGAAAATCACATTGTATGATTTTTAAGTAATTCATTTGCATTTTATTGCATGACATAAGTATTTGATCACCTACCAACCAATAAGAATTCCGGCTCTCACAGACCTGTTAAGTTTTCTTTAAGAAGCCCTCCTGTTCTCCACTCATTACCTGTATTAACTGCACCTGTTTGAACTCGTTACCTGTATAAAATACACCTCTCCACACACTCAATCAAACAGACTCCAACCTCTCCACAATGGCCAAGACCAGAGAGCTGTGTAAGGACATCAGGGATAAAATTGTAGACCTGCACAAGGCTGGGATGGGCTACAGGACAATAAGCAAGCAGCTTGGTGAGAAGGCAACAACTGTTGGCGCAATTATTAGAAAATGGAAGAAGTTCAAGATGACGGTCAATCACCCTCGGTCTGGGGCTCCATGCAAGATCTCACCTCGTGGGGCATCAATGATCATGAGGAAGGTGATGGGATCAGCCCAGAACTACACGGCAGGACCAGGTCAATGACCTGAAGAGAGCTGGGACCACAGTCTCAAAGAAAACCATTAGTAACACACTACGCCGTCATGGATTAAAATCCTGCAGCGCACGCAAGGTCCCCCTGCTCAAGCCAGCGCATGTCCAGGCCCGTCTGAAGTTTGCCAATGACCATCTGGATGATCCAGAGGAGGAATGGGAGAAGGTCATGTGGTCTGATGAGACAAAAATAGAGCTTTTTGGTCTAAACTCCACTTGCCGTGTTTGGAGGAAGAAGAAGGATGAGTACAACCCCAAGAACACCATCCCAACCGTGAAGAATGGAGGTGGAAACATCATTCTTTGGGGATGCTTTTCTGCAAAGGGGACAGGACGACTGCACCGTATTGAGGGGAGGATGGATGGGGCCATGTATCGCAAGATCTTGGCCAACAACCTCCTTCCCTTAGTAAGAGCATTGAAGGTGGGTCGTGGCTGGGTCTTCCAGCATGACAACGACCCGAAACACACAGCCAGGGCAACTAAGGAGTGGCTCCGTAAGAAGCATCTCAAGGTTCTGGAGTGGCCTAGCCAGTCTCCAGACCTGAACCCAATAGAAAATCTTTGGAGGGAGCTGAAAGTCCGTATTGCCCAGCAACAGCCCGAAACCTGAAGGATCTGGAGAAGGTCTGTATGGAGGAGTGGGCCAAAATCCCTGCTGCAGTGTGTGCAAACCTGGTCAAGACCTACAGGAAACGTATGATCTCTGTAAACAAACGTTTCTGTACCAAATATTAAGTTCTGCTTTTCTGATGTATCAAATACTTATGTCATGCAATAAAATGCAAATTAATTATTTAAAAATCATACAATGTGATTTTCTGGATTTTTGTTTTAGATTCCGTCTCTCACAGTTGAAGTGTACCTAGGATAAAAAATTACAGACCTCTACATGCTTTGTAAGTAGGAAAACCTGCAAAATCGGCAGTGTATCAAATACTTGTTCTCCCCACTGTATATATATATTTTTTTTCTTCCTGTAGTCCAAGGTGGAACAGAACAGGTTATCTTCAGGGTTCAAAGGATCAGTTGATAAGAAATAACTAGTGCACTGCTGCCAGATACAGTCATGGCCAAAATTGTTGGCACCCCTGAAATTTTTCCAGAAAATGAAGTATTTCTCACAGAAAAGTATTGAAATTACACATGTTTTGCTATGCACATGTTTATTTCCTTTGTGTGTATTGGAATAACACAAAAAAAAACAGGAAAAAAGCAAATTTGACATAATTTCACACAAAACTAAAAAAATGGGCCGGACAAAGTTATTGGCACCCTTTCAAAATTGTGGATAAATAAGTTTGTTCCAAGCATGTGATGCTCCTTTAAACTCACCTGGGGCAAGTAACAGGTGTGGGCAATCTAAAAATCACACCTGAAAGCAGATAAAAAGGAGAGAAGTTGACTCAGTCTTTGCATTGTGTTTCTGTGTGTGCCACACTAAGCATGGAGAACAGAAAGAGGAAAAGAGAACTGTCTGAGGACTTGAGAACCAAAATTGTGGAAAAATATCAACAATCTCAAGGTTACAAGTCCATCTCCAGAGATCTAGATGTTCCTTTGTCCACAGTGCGCAACATGATCAAGAAGTTTGCAACCCATGGCACTGTAGCTAATCTCCCTGGACGTGGACGGAAGAGAAAAATTTATGAAAGGTTGCAACGCAGGATAGTCCGGATGGTGGATAAGCAGCCCCAAACAAGTTCCAAAGAAATTCAAGCTGTCCTGCAGGCTCAGGGTGCATCAGTGTCAGCGCGAACTATACGTCGAAATTTGAATGAAATGAAACGCTATGGCAGGAGACCCAGGAGGACCCCACTGCTGACACAGAGACATAAAAAAGCAAGACTACAGTTTGCCAAAATGTACATGAGTAAGCCAAATTCCTTCTGGGAGAACGTCTTATGGACAGATGAGACCAAGATAGAGCTTTTTGGTAAAGCACATCGTTCTACTGTTTACCGAAAATGTAATGAAGCCTTCAAAGAAAAGAACACAGTACCTACAGTCAAATATGGTGGAGGTTCAAAGATGTTTTGGGGTTGTTTTGCTGCCTCTGGCACTGGGTGCCTTGACTGTGTGCAAGGCATCATGAAATCTGAGGATTACCAAAGGATTTTGGGTCGCAATGTAGGGCCCAGTGTCAGAAAGCTGGGTTTGCGTCCGAGATCATGGGTCTTCCAGCAGGACAATGACCCCAAACATACTTCAAAAAGCACCCAGAAATGGATGGCAACAAAGCGCTGGAGAGTTCTGAAGTGGCCAGCAATGAGTCCAGATCTTAATCCCATTGAACACCTGTGGAGAGATCTTAAAATTGCTGTTGGGAAAAGGCACCCATCCAATATGAGAGACCTGGAGCAGTTTGCAAAAGAAGAGTGGTCCAAAATTCCGGGTGAGAGGTGTAAGAAGCTTATTGATGGTTATAGGAAGCGACTGATTTCAGTTATTTTTTCCAAAGGGTGTGCAACTAAATATTAAGTTAAGGGTGCCAATCATTTTGTCCGGCCCATTTTTTGAGTTTTGTGTGAAATTATGTCAAATTTGCTTTTTTCCTGTTTTTTTTGTGTTATTCCAATACACACAAAGGAAATAAACATGTGCATAGCAAAACATGTGTAATTTCAATACTTTTCTGTGAGAAATACTTCATTTTCTGGAAAAATTTCAGGGGTGCCAACAATTTTGGCCATGACTGTATCCTTGCAGAAAATTTGCAAGATTATCTAGGACAGGGTGTATACATTCATCTGAAAATATTCTACTGAGATGGTATTTTGGGATATCCTATGCGAGCTTGGAGATATGATTGTTTATTTGTTCCCCTTGATTAACCTCAGAAAATGTCATCTGGCCTCATCACTATTTATAAAGGCCTTGGCTCTCCACCAGATTATTTTGTGCCTAAAGTAAATTATAAATAATGTATTGTGTCATTGTGGAGTCACTTTTATTGTAAATAAGAATATAATATGTTTCTAAACACTCCTACATTAATGTGAATTCTACCATGATTTAGGGTCATCCTGAATGAATCATGAATAATGATGAGTGAGAAAATTACAGATGCGCAAATATCATGCCCCCAGACATGCTAACCTCTCACCATTACAATAACAGGGGAGGTTAGCATTTTTGTAGGGGTAAGATATTTGTTTATCTGTAACTTTCTCGCTCATCATTATTCACGATTCATTCAGCATTATCTGTAATAATGGTAGCATCCACATTCATGTAAAAGTGTTGAGAAATATATGATATTTTTATTTACAATAAAAGTGACTAAAAAAATGACAAAATACATTATTTACCATACATTTCTATTGGTCACAAAATAATCTGAAACACAAGCAAAGTAAACAGCAAATGCATCCAACAAATGTGTAGATTCACATGCTTGATGAGTCATTGCGTGCTGTGAATACGGGACCAAATACTAAACGTTGTACTACTTTGTCCCAATACTTTTGCACCCCTAAAATGGGGGGGGGGGACTATTTACAAAAAGTGCTGTAATTTCTAAACGGTTCACCTGATATGGATGAAAAATACTCTCAAATTAAAGCTGACAGTCTGCACTTTAACCTCATAGTCATTGTATCATTTCAAATCCAAACTTCTGAAGTATAGAGCCAAAAGAAGGAAAAATGCTGTCCCAATAATTACGGAGGACGCTGTTTCACACACATACACTGCAGTATGTATATGTATATGAAAGCCTTGCTCTTTCCACATTTGACAAGACAGACAATTTGATAATCTATAGAAAATCAACCCTTCAGAGACATTGTTGAAACAACTGTATTCTGGTTGGTGCACTCATTTAGCCTCTCTCCGACAAGACTTCATATGTTCTCTCCCTGTCATTTAGCCTGTCTCCAACAAGACTTCATATGTTCTCTCCCTGTCATTTAGCCTGTCTCCGACAAGACTTCATATGTTCTCTCCCTGTCATTTAGCCTCTCTCCAACAAGACTTCATATGTTCTCTCCCTGTCATTTAGCCTCTCTCCGACAAGACTTCATATGTTCTCTCCCTGTCATTTAGCCTGTCTCCAACAAGACTTCATATGTTCTCTCCCTGTCATTTAGCCTGTCTCCGACAAGACTTCATATGTTCTCTCCCTGTCATTTAGCCTCTCTCCAACAAGACTTCATATGTTCTCTGTCATTTCAATGTAAAGAGGCTTGGGCTGCACTTAAGCCTTACAGATTCTTCTTTGACCCTCTATAATGCCGCTTTTATCCAGCTGGGATAGCGGAAAGTATTTAGTAGTCTACCTGGCCTTGATCTTCATACTGCCCTGTCCCTGTGGTCGTAGGGATTCCTAAGAAGTAAAACATACACCATGAGGGTTATAGTGTTATCCTCATATCCACTCTGGGATTGCCATTGGGCCATTTTCTATCACATTTTGAAATCACAAGTACATGCAGGTGATTCAGTTCACCTTATTCTATGCCAGGTGGACTAAGTATTCTATGCCAGGTGGACTAAGCCAGCAGGTTATCCTCTTTTGACATTCAACCAGAAAAGATAAGAACTGAATTAGAAAGTTTTATAATCAAAATATTTCTGTAGGTCTGGGTATTGAGACAGAACTATACTGAACAAAAATATAAACGCAACATGCAACAATTTCAAAGATTTTACTGAGTTACAGTTCATTTAAGGAAATCAGTCAATTTAAATAAATAAATTAGGCCCTAATCAATGGATTTCACATGACAGGGCATGGGCGCAGCCATTGGTGGGCCTGGGAGGGCATAGGCCCACCCACTTGGGAGCCAGGCTCACCCACTGGGGAACCAGGCCCAGCCAATCAGAATGAGTTTTTCCCCACAAAAGGGCTTTATTACAGACAGAAATAGTCCTCAGCACCACCCCCACCCCCTGCCTCAGACGATCCCGCAGGTGAAGAAGCCAGATGTGGAGGTCCTGGGCTGGCATTGTTACATGTGGTCTGCGGTTGTGATGCCGGTTGGATGTACTGCCAAATTCTCTAAAACAACGTTGCAGGTGGCTTATGGTAGAGAAATGAACATTAAATCCTCTGGCAACAGCTCTGGTGGACATTCCTGCATCTGTGGCATTGTGGTGTGGGACAAAACTGCACATTTTAGAGTGACCTTTTCTTGTCCCCAGCACAAGGTGCACCTATGCCACCTGTCAGCTGGATGGGTTATCTTGGCAAAGGAGAAATGTTCACTAACATTGATGTAAACAAATTTGTGCACAAAAAAAGGAGAGAAATAAGCTTTTTGTGCGTATAGAAAAATTCGGGGATATTTTATTTCAGCTCATGGGACCAACATACGTTTATATTTTTGTTCAGTATAATGTTTTGCATTGACTAATGTAAGACCAGAGGCCATTTTTAGGAAGTTATTTGTGCACTTTAAATTCAAACCCCATTGTTCTGACACAGATAAGAGCTCTGAATTAAGAGTGACTTTTGACCTCATCTATAAAAGGGCTAACTTTTGGTAATTTTTAATCTGATAAATACCTGGATAATGGTAATAACACTCTGATAATCTCACTACAACAAGTAACATCATATATCAGGCAGTAGGAACTAGGGCTGCCGAGTACTCCCATAACAAAGCAAGGCTCCCCAAAGTGAACGTACAGCACAACTATGTATTTTAATCCTATTCATACGATATTGTCATGATGTTTCCATCGTGTACAGTAGGACTTGCCTGGTGAAGCGCTCCAATGATCTTGCGGGCCTCTTGGTAAATGATCTCTGCGCTCCAGTGTGGGTTGAGGCTCTTCAAGGCCTCTGCGATTCTATTGTGTTCCCTCATCCACAGCGTGTGTAGAACCACCAGGGGCAGAACCTCATTCACCCTGCTGTCCCCAGCCAGGAAACAATCCACCCTTTCCCCCTGGGGATCCCCTGGATCTTGGAAGCATGGAGACGGGGTGTTGGGGACAAAAGACAGGTAGGGTCTGCCACTCCAGTCACTGAATCTGCTGTTGACAGCCAGCCGACCATCGGAGCTCGAGAGGTCTCGAAGGGCACTCTGTAAATACGGGGTGTGGCCATATACAGTGGATGCATCCAGGAAAGACGTGATTGAGTTCATTTGTTGACGCTGTAGCACTTGTTTGATGTCCGCCGTCGCAGCCTGTGCATTACCGGAGAAGCAGGCTGGCGATGAACGGAAGAATGGCACGCAGCTTCTGTTCCCAGACAGTTTGTCACGAGGGAGTGTCTGCGAGAGAAAGAACACAACTTATACACAGTTATATATAAGTGTTATACAAAAGCAACACTTTTGTCTCCCTAAAAGGGACTGGTAGGATTTGGGAAGCAGACAGACAACTGATGTAAATAAATAAATAAATAATTAGTCATTTAGCAGACGCTCTTATCCAGAGCGACTTACAGGAGCAATTAGGGTTAAGTGCCTTGCTCAAGGGCACATCGACAGATTTTTCACCTAGTCGGTTCGGGGATTAGAACCAGCGACCTTTCGGTTACTGGCACAACGCTCTTAACCACTAAGCTACCTGCCGCCCTATGATGTGAAAGTGTATTCATTGGGGTGATTTATGAGTGGTTACCTCAATAGGGAAGCAGGGATTTATGTTTTCACACGTTTCCAGGCAGTCCAGTCCTCCCAAGAAAGCAGCTCTGCTTGTGCTTTGAGGAGTGAAGGATATGTCATGGTCTATGTACTGGCCCCAGTCCACTAGCATCTGACAATAGACATCATCTAGCAACATCGGCCGGCTGGAGCTCTGCAGTATTTTCTTGCTGACTTCCTGTACCTGGTAATGCAGTGGGAACATGACACATACTCTGGTTGGACGATGAAGGTTGATATTTTGGAGCTTCTGTGTTTGATTGTTCTAAACCCATCCTCGTACAGGATAATGAATAAATCGACAGCTTCACTGTTCACAAACACAAGCACACTGACAGCGTTGCCATAGTCCATGGCCTTGTCTCTCAACAAAGATGGCCTTTTATAAACCTCTTATATGTAAAGTCCCCTGTTTAGGGGACCTGCGTGGTTGTGGTACCGGTTTTAAACTGGCATTTAAAAAAAACTTATAAATCAATCTGTGGACACAGTAGATTGAAATGGCTTGCATTGAGCGATAGCCCTGGTTCTCACAGACACAGCACTTGAAGATTGGATGTCCCTCCTACCATTTAATTCACTCTTCCGACTATCCCATCAACTCCTGGCTGAACCCTACGTCACTGACAAAGCACATGCTGCGTTCACGTGATAGTCATGACTGAAAGTCGCTTTGGATAAAAGCGTCTGCTAAATGGCATATTATTATTATTATTATTATTATTATTATTATTATTATTATTATTATTATTATTATTATCTAAGACTAGCTAATTAGATCAAGATTAGCTTATCTCGCTAGCCAGCCAGCTAACGTCAGCTAACCGGCAAAAAAGTTATGGGTAAACAAACAGTGACGTAAATATAATCAGACAACTTTACTAGCTTTACTGTCAGTGTTAGCAGGTCAGGTAACACATTAGAGTGGCAGAATACGTATCATGCAAATCATTTGTTGTTGTGACAGTCAAGTATTTTAGTAACGACGCTGATGAAAACGTTTGTTAAAACAACAAAAAAGTGTCAGTAGTTTGCTAAGTTAGGCTTATTACATGGGAGTAACGGGAGTACTCTACGGCTGTACCCTACTCAGGGGTGTGGTCATGTTAAGCCATGCCTCGCCGTGTATATCTATCATTACATCGTAACGCAGCAGGAGGAAGTGGTTTTGTCGTTCTAGAACATTCTGAGATCGATTTATAGCCAGTAATCTAAAATAATTTGTAGATTTTAAAGAAAAAACTATTTCTGTTTGTCATAGACGGACAACATTCATATAAGATAAAAGGCCAGTTCCTAACGAGTTCAGGAAGCAAAGCTAGAGCTCTGTGTGACGTTCACAGCGGTGGGGAAGATGTTTTGATCTAGAGAGACCCTTAGAAAATATTCACAAATATTTATTTTACAGTTATAAGGAAGGTGAAATCGTGTAGTTAGTCATTTTATAATTTGATTATACTATATTTAGAGAGCATATAAGTAAAATGTCCAACCTTATTCATGCAGTTTTGTTGAGTTGAGTAGGAAATACATCATATAAAATATTTCATATTTTATCATAGTTGTATTTACTTGAGCTTGTGTACTCAAAAGTGACAATACCTCAGCAACTATTTTTTATCAGAAAGGTGAGATTTTTATATTTATTTGAGTATGCAGCATTAGTAGTTATGGTTTATGGCCCTCATGATAAATAGTTACTTTTGGAGATTACGTAGATTACATTTTAGTTAGTTTCAATGAGTGTTCGAGGATTACAAGGCTGTTTTACCAACTTCACAACCTCTGAGAAAAATTGGGATTTACAGTAGCTTCAGAATCACAGTAAAAACATGTTGTAATACAGATACATAAATTATAGGTTCCATTTAGTGGGTCAAACACTGTGCAAACTGCAGGCTGTGTAGCTACATAATGTATTGTATATTTAATGATCTCCATTTTAAAAAATCCAGTCAGTGTGTGGTGATAACATGAAATAAGACAGCTGAAAATATCTGAAATGCAAATATAAATGCAAATCAGAATAAATTCCTCTTGGTAAAAAAATAATAATGACATTAACACTTTGTCAGTAAGATAAAAAAATATATATATTTTCTAGAACCAGAAATAGTTAATATCTCTGGTACCTGCCCCAATGAATGCAGGCAGCTACAGCCATGTGTTATTAAAATGCAAAAAGGGATATACTGTACATGTTTTAATTTAACAGATAACACTGGAAAAAAAATAAACAGCATCCTTTCGAATGGCTTTTTTTTTTTTTTTTACTAAACATGGTGCACCTGCAGTCTCACACTTTAGAGATTACCGGGGGAAGCTGGAAGCCGTTGTATAGTTGACCGTGGTTCCAGCCCTTTGGTTGTCTTTCTCCGTCTTCATATTCTGCCGGAAGCCATCTGGCCAAGGCACTGTTGGCTGTGCCCCAGAAAGGCTTTTGCCTGAAAAATATGTTTAAAAATCTGTCAAAATACCCCATAATACAAAACAGGTGTGTATGCCCCGGCCGAATGCAACATCTCACAGAGAATAAGTTAATTATAGTGCATGGTGGGAGTATTTAGAGGAATTGGGTGGAAATCAACAGGAAAAAGCTGTGTGTGTGTTTAGCTTGTGTGTGTGTGTGTGTGTGTGTGTGTGTGTGTGTGTGTGTGTGTGTGTGTGTGTGTGTGTGTGTGTGTGTGTGGGGAGGGGAGGGGAGGGGTTATTCAATTTCTAGTTACTTAAAAAACATAAAATCCTACAGTAATTTTTTGACTCTATGAAGACAAAATATATTTTCTAATCTATTTTGAGAAATGTAAAATGTAAGCGTAAACAAACCTTATTGTGGATGTTCAGATTGAATGAAATTATATAGAAAATATACCAGACACCTATTATTGCAGACTCCAGATATGGAACGGTACTTGTTGGCGAGGCAATCGTTGTGACAGAAGGCTGGGTGAACGGGTGGAGGACAGCCTGACAGGTCTGCAATCAGCGCCAAGTCCTCCAATGAAAGGAGCTCTTGAGAAGTGACAGCACTGAGTTAACTAATGCAAATGGTCTGCAAACAGATCATCTAATTAGGCTAGTCAGGGCAGCCATTTGCAATTCAATAACATTGCTGACACTGTATATGCGAAAAGGCTTATCTTTGACGTTTAACTGTTAGTGTGGATCCTGCATGCATCTCTTTGCACTTCTATGTCATACCAGTAACTGGCTCAAAGTTAACTTCCTGAGATCTGTGCGGGCTATCTGAATATACCACAGAATAGACATGACCTTTGTGCTGTTATTGCAAGTATATAGCATAGCCTACATTATTCATATACGGTGTGATGACGGTTGAAGTGAAATATGACCGTGGATCTACCTGATGCAACAAGTGCCCTTTTCTGTCTCCGGCTGGCTCTGTCCTTTAGAATAAACAGAGTTGTGTCAAAGACCTCTGCAGCTCTGGAAATCTCTTGGGTCTCAGGCTCTGCTTGCCGGAGAAATGTAAACAGCTGCATTGGAGACTGGAGTGTGCCTCGCCTGTGATTCAGAGGAATTGTCAGATAAGGTGAAAAAGTGGACCCCTCGCTCTTAAAAAAAAATATATATAAAAAATAATATTTCTAGGAACAGTCTCACATGAACCATGCACACACTGTGATTAGGTTCATTACTCTGTCCTGGTGTGACATAATGCTGTGTCCACCATCTGAAGACTTTCTTGAAAAGAGGAAATGAGCATTCCCCCGTTGTCAAATGATGTTCCTGGAAGAGGCAAACATAGGACTCGTAACAAACCAATCACGCTATATAATATGGAACCATACTATAGAGAGCATTTGATTTATTTACAAATTGTTAGAAAATTAATACAAAAAGCAAGGCAATATTATTAAAAATATTAAAGCGACAGTGTTGTGATGCAAAATCCCTGTAGTAATTTGGCAAAGAAGAAAGCGACACTAGCAGTGACATTCTGTTCTGTGCCAGTTTACAATATCTCCTGTAAAGCAGCAAAGGAAAGTTCAATATACCTTTTGATTGGCACCTAAGGTGGCTGATTAGGAGAAAATTAGTAACCTCTCTCGGTTACCCGAAGTGACTTGCATTGACATTCCTTGGAGGGGAAGTAGATATTGAACCCAGTCCAGACTGATGTGATATGCAACCAGAAATACCCCCTCAGCTGTAGTAATGGGCTTTAGAATGAACAGTCACTCTCACTGGGCTTTTACTTGCACAGATCTGGTACCCTTCCCATATCAACGAAATAGATGTAAAAGAAAAAAGATGTACATTTCATATGCACTAATAGCTGAATTTTCCTCCGGATAATCTCTGAGATACATCGCAATAGCAAATACCTATTGGGAGGAAGACTGCCATGTAGAAGTTGGTCTTTAGAGAAAAGTCTAATTCCCCCATCCAGGTGATCCAGTACTATATCATTTTTAATGTCCTTGGGTGGTAAAGTTTACACACATAGAATACAGAGTATGTGCATGCAGAATACATCTGCGTTCAATTGAATCATGCAAACATAATAAAATGATCAATAGGAACAAAAAGAAAACAGAGATTACTTACGTTTGGAGTTTCTGGCCTCATCACTTAAAAACCTCATGAAGATTGTGCAGGATACAATGGCATATTTAATCAGGTTGAAATGACCAGCCATGGTTTGGTGATACCTGAATGTACAGCAAGTCAATCGCAGAAATATATATTCTTCTTTTTTTTTTCAATTTTTTTCCAATTTTCAAGTGTAACTAGGTTAATTTAAAAGCACCAAACAATCCACCATGAGCTTCACGTGATGAAATAGTATTATTTCATGCCTGACATGTTTAAAGCAACTCCTAGTAACTGCCATGACAAGAAGTTACACCATAGCTGCAATCGAACAATGTATTTGCCCACCTTTTGACGTTTTGCTCAGAGAAGACTCTTCTCGTCTGTTGGCAAGGAGAAACCTGTCTTGTTGGTCTGGTTTCACATGGTCTGGCATTACAAGAGGTTCAGTTGTACTTGGTTGACTACGTTGCAGAAACACTTCAAACCTTGTTGGTCTTTAGCTGCACACGTTTGCCTGATTTGCCTACGCATTTAGAAGACAGACAGTCAGACATTTCAGGAAGGGAAATAATGTATTATTCTGTGTATCTCACCATGCACGCCTTGCCATTGAATTGTGCATCAAAGTCAAGCCTTGCTTATTTGAGCTAGGAAAAAGAAAGGGACATTTCCTTTCTGACTCAGCGGGAGATTACCTTGTCCTTATTACGTCTGAGCAAAAAACATCACTGCCATTCTACAAATAAGAAAGGTACCATCCTGTATTTATAGAGTAATGACATTTAGATACTGGCCATCTTATGTCTTATGTATACATGTAAAATGCTGAGATGTTATTGTAATGTTGGACTTATGGTCGGGCAGTTATCGTTCCGCTACAGTGGCTAACTGTGTGTCCATGCTATGCGTTTCTTTCAGATAGTAATTCTGTTGAAAATAATTGTTCATGCTACTGCTACCGTCCCTATACTTCTGTCATTTGTAATTGGCTTAATTCAACAGTACAGTAACCTGTTTTCCAATTCTCTAAAACAGCCTTCAGGATTTCTTGTAATAAGAGAGTGCTCTCTAGTGCTCCTAGAGACGCCCTCAGACGCCCGTAATCACAAATGCTTCAGTTAGCATTCAGAGCTTACTGTTGCCTCTGTCGTCAAGCGTGGGTGTCATGGCCCCTCGGGAGATTGAGCGAGGCACTTGAGCTCTGTACTTGACAAACTGCTGATGAAACCGCGTAACATTACCAAGCAGTCCGTGACTTCAAGTTCAGTGGAAGGACACGGTCCATGTCTTTAGGATGTTCGTCTTGTTGTTGCTCTTCACGGTGCCATAGAGACATCCTGTATATTGTTTTCAGGTTGGGTTTCTGCACTTGTCTTCACCAAATGATGGTGCTACGGAAGAAACCTGAACGGCGCAAATGGCTCAGTCTACAGGTGTGAGAGGTACTATCTAGGGGCCTGTTGTACAGCACCTACTGTTACCAGTCTCTGTATACCACCCACTGACAGTATATATAACCAAGTGAAAGATTGTGCACCAACAGCTGCATGTGGTGTGACATTTTGAACCACTGGGAAGAAGTGCCGGACGTTGCCCCCCCTGCTGTGCAGAACCTGAGGGACTGGCCTTCGTCTGAGATGGATTTGAAAGAAAATTGGAGAGGATTGGAACATACAACAGAAAATTTAGTCATGCATTGTTTGTTACATTGAATCCTGGAATACGTTTATCTAGACCTACAGAGGTCAACAAAACAAAGTTTAGCAATCTGATCAAAGACAAGCTACGGGCAGGCGGCAGAATACCTCCAATCCTCCTATTAGGAAAACCAAATGCCAAGCAGAGCCCTAGTGAACACATTTTGGTTCTAAAAATGGGACAATAAAGTTTTCTGCAAAATGTTATTGCTGTATAATTTGAAAGGGTTTTTCCTGTCACTGGTCTCAATTTCTTTCTTACCCTATTCAAGACTCTTCAAGCAGCAGATGGCCTTTGATCCCCAGCAAATCAAGAATATTGATTTGTTAGTCTGCGTTTATTTCCACCATCAATAGCTGTGAACACATATCAGGTAGGGCACGGAATTCAATAGAAGACCATTTGACAATTAGGAGGAATGATTTGGGATTTATTTTGTAATGGATAAGAAAACAAAAGAGGCTGAGTGAATATACATATAGATGTGTATGTCTGTAAGCTTTGTAATGACTGTCAAACTGCATGGCTTCACACTAAATAAAGGATTACAAAACGTAAAACATACATGTTGATTTAGTTTCATAAACTAACATTGTAGTCACCTGACGGATACAGTAAGACACCATTGCTACAATAAACCTGCATCTTCTTTCCCAGTGTTTGTCATTCCACACAACCCTCTGTTATGGGAGAATATCAGTGACTAGCAGTGACTATCTATATAAACTAAAACACCCTCTGGTGTCATGAACGCCTCCACCAAGACCTGCATTTGTGGGCCTCAACAGAAACTCTCCAGACACTCTTTTCCCCAAATCATGCTGCAGCCACACTATCTGTAGTCATGCAGAAGTCATGGAATAAGTTAAATTAACCAGAGGGTATAGCCCAGTAGAATACTAATTGCAAAAATGTTTTCATGTGTATTGATTCGTACAGTTTAATCTGTTCTGCTTTTACTTTGCAACTATGAAAAATTGTTTACCTTGCATCAACACATGAATTCAAAACTTTTAAGTGGAACCAACATCTTTGTGACTGTAGGCCTGTTCATAGGTTGCACCTCCGTCACTCGGTCGCGTCACGCCATTGTTATGAACGTTCTCCAAGCCCTCTATCGGCTGGGCCATAGTGGTGGCCTAAAGTGGTGATAAGCCCAGTCGTTCTGGGCTAACTACTTGTATCGTCTAAATTACACTATAGTGCCTGGAAATATGATGACATCGCTAAAGTAGTCAACTATTTAGTAGGAAACAACTTTGCCAGCATTATCGTGTCGTCAAATTGACTTTAGACAGATGGCAATGTTGTCATTTAGCTATCAAAGTTTGTAAAAAGAAAAATAGCAATGGTAACGTTAGCTAGATAAAATCTGGTGGCCTCCCCTCAATCTTTGCTAGCGCTACACTGCATCTAAAGTCAATCTGGTGACATCAAAACGATGACAAAAGGTTTTCCTACTAAATAATTGCCTCCTTCTGAACGTCGTTGTATTTCCAAGCTACTGTAATGCACTTTTGATGAAATCTTCATCAGCTCTCATTGATGATGCTTTGAGTAGAATGCTCAGTCGGGGATCAGTTCAAAACTAACGCTCAAAACAATATTGTTACGAAACATGCAACCCATAAATATGTTTTTCTGCATGGAAAAAAATCTGCATGGATTTTTAAACATATTCATACTCCAATGTCAATAACAACCAATTAATGGAAGTATAAATATCCTCTACTTCCAAAGTCAAATATGTTTTTTAAAATATTTTCCTTATTATTATTTAACAAGAGCCTTACAAAAATAACAGGAACAAGATATACATATCAATTGAATTTGAATGTGCATAAAATAGTCAATTAGCTCATGTGACTAAACTGTACATGACAACACAAACAAGTGTCTAACCCATGTACTTTCCAGAGATGCTTTGACTGTTGACAAAGACAGGGTCCACAGAGGCCACTTTGGAAGCGATAAAAGAATGAATACAATGTAGGACTGCGGTCAGATTGGAAAACTCCAGCTCCTGCAATGAAAAGAAAAACCCTGAATACAAATTCTAAGAAATACTCTTAAGAGTTTGCATAAAATTTACATAATGTTTGCATACATAAAAATGTCACAATTACTTTTGTAACAAATAGGCACTTGTATTTTCTACTACTACTACTAACAACAACAACAACAATAATAATAATAATATTACTCTACTGGTTCCCCGCATGGCATTTACCAGAGATGGTTTGATTCAATATATTGATGAGGTAGCATAAAGCCGATGTGTAATACATGTCCACAGGAGTGGAGGCTGCTGAGGGGAGGACGGCTCATAGTAATGGCTGGAAGGGAGCGGATGGAATGGCATCAAACACATGGAAACCATGGAAACCATGTGTTTTATGTATTTGATACTGTTCCACTCATTCTGCTCCAGCCATTACCATGAGCCCGTCCTCCCCAATTAAAGGTGCCACCAACCTCCTGTGGACCACAGTATTCAAACATTCTGCCGTCCATCAATACTCTCCTCGGGGGGAGGCCACTGCAATGGAAGTTGAGATAATATCATATGCAGCGTCCCTGTACCTTCCTCTCTATCTGTTTGTTTTCAGAATTCTTGAAGAGGAGCTTCACCCTTGTTTTCCCATCATCAGAGGAGCCTTTCAGTTGAGAGAATTTGTATCTCCATAATATCTTCTACAGGGGATAAGAGTAGACAATATAGCAAGGGTTCATTATTTTGACCAATCAATAAACAGTAGGTATTAACCAGTCTAGCATGGACAATATCCCCCTTACTGTGTAGCCTGTTGAAGTTTCAGTTAGAATAGTGAATGAACAATGACTCACCTTCGAGGAGCTCTCGGAACAAGTGAAGCCAGATCCAAAGTCTATGGTCAAACACAGTACTTTACCCTGGCTGCTGCACATGTAGGTCTTTGACTGTTGAGAGACAGAGCTGTATTCAGAGAACAATCAGACATTTCAGCATATACAGTGCTGTGAAAAAGTATTTGCCCTCTTTCTAAATTTTCTCTACTTTTGCATATTTGTGATACTGAATGTTATCAGATCTTCAACCAAAACCTAATATTAGATAAAGGGAACGTAAGTGAACAAATAACACAACAATTACATATTTATTTAATTTATTTCATAAACAAAGTTATGCAACACCCAATTCCCCTGTGGGAAAAAGTAATTGCCCCCTTACACTCAGTAACTGGTTGTGCCACCTTTAGCTGCAATGACTCCAACCAAATTCTTCCTGTAGTTGTTGATCAGTCTCTCACGACGCTGGGGAGGAATTTTGGCCCACTCTTCCATGCAGAACTGCTTTAACTCAGTGACGTGTGGGTTTTCAAGCATGAACTGCTCGTTTCAAGTCCTGCCACTACATCTCAATTGGGATTAGGTCTGGACTTTGACCAGGCCATTCCAAAACTTCAAATTCGTTGCTTTTTTAGCAATTTTCATGTAGACTTGATTCATGGTTCCTTCTATTAAGGCAAGTTGTCCAGGTCCTGAGGCAGCAAAGCATCCCCAAACCATCACACCACCACCATGCTTGACCTTTGGTATGACGTTCTTTCTGTGGAATGCAGTGTTTGGTTTTCGCCAGGCATAATGGGACCCATCTCGTCCAAAAAGTTGACTCAAGTTTGCCAAAAAGCACCTGGATGATCATCAAGACTCTTGGAAGAATGTTCTATGGACAGATGATTCAAAAGTATCACCTTTTGGACGACATGGTTCCAGTAATGTCTGGCGAAATCCAAACTCTGCATTCCACAGTAAGAACATCATACCAAAGGTCAATCATGGTGGTGGTGGTGTGATGGTTTGGGGATGCTTTGCTGCCTCAGGACCTGGACGACTTGCCTTAATAGAAGGAACCATGAATCAAGTCTACATGAAAATTGCTAAAAAGCAACGAATTTGAAGTTTTGGAATGGCCTAGTCAAAGTCCAGACCTAATCCCAATTGAGATGTTGTGGCAGGACTTGAAACGAGCAGTTCATGCTTGAAAACCCACACGTCACTGAGTTAAAGCAGTTCTGCATGGAAGAGTGGGCCAAAATTCCTCCCCAGCGTCGTGAGAGACTGATCAACAACTACAGGAAGCATTTGGTTGGAGTCATTGCAGCTAAAGGTGGCACAACCAGTTATTGAGTGTAAGGGGGCAATTACTTTTTCCCACAGGGGAATTGGGTGTTGCATAACTTTGTTTATGAAATAAATTAAATAAATATGTAATTGTTGTGTTATTTGTTCACTTATGTTCCCTTTATCTAATATTAGGTTTTGGTTGAAGATCTGATAACATTCAGTATCACAAATATGCAAAAGTAGAGAAAATTAGAAAGGGGGCAAATACTTTTTCACAGCACTGTACATTATGTCATGGAAATATTAAATATGTCAGTCTATTGAAGCATCTCAAACTAAAACCTTTCTCTGCAAATCTGGGGATTATCAGAACATAGAGCTACTGAAAAAAGATTGAATTAATGTGCATGTGCATTATGTTTCCAGTGAGTGCTTTACAAAGGGAGCAGTTAGGGGATCCTGTTTATGCTTTTTGTGTGAAAGCTTAGGAACTGCTGTCGGGGTCAGAGTATAGTTTGTATATGGATTATTGTGAAATTAATGACTTCCGATGCTTGAACTACCTCTGAGCTTTGAATACACCCACCCCCTTAAAGGATCAACAAACAGAATTGTGAACATGCTATCCGTCTATTTCGTCCTGCTATTGCTGCAGGTGTGTTCAATCCATTATGCTGTAGAGGAATTTAGATTTGTGTCAATTGAGAATTCTTCTAAACTAGTTCTGCATTGTTATTCATAGTTTGGCTGTACTGATCACACCAAATCGATATTGTTGGATTCTAGCTTGAAATATACACATTACCGTCACCATACTACAAATTATTGATTACTTTACATGTATAAGGAATGTATATGCTGGGGTCAATGAAGGGTGAATAGGAACTTGGTGTATGGAAAGTTACTGAGTGAGACAAGGGGAAGTGCAGAATGTTCATATTCTGTTCAAACATGTTATTGTTTAATATCAATGTTTCTAAGGAGGGAGACGAAGGGCAACAGGTAGTCTCTGATAAGGCTGGCCAGCTGCAGAACTAGGAACCAATTAAGTTCCTGCCTAGCAACAGATATGTATTGGCTGTCTAGATGTGTAAGGAGTTGACCCCGCCTAGTAGGAGGTTATAAATATATGTGCTTGTGTAATCATATAAATTGTCTTTGCAGCTGTATGACCCAGTGGTTGAATAAACTTGGTTTGAGCTTTTCCTAGTCGTCCGTTTGAGTTTTTACTCTGTTTGTTCAGAACCTGACAATATAAAATGCAAGAACTAAGTAAAATATCTGCGGGTGCCTCCAGTCTGTAGCCCTCCATTTACTGCCCTAACACGAACAACCAGATGTGTGACACAATGCTTTTCACAGTCTCATTGAAAGCAGTGATGTGTGAGGAGTGTGTCTCTGTAGTGAAGTGTAGATCTTAGTGGAAATATAAAGGCTCTGTGTGGAAACCCCCATCTTCCATGCTTCCATTCTTCAGCAAATGAAGCCCACTCAAACAGAATGCTACTACTGCTCCTTACCACTTCGTACACTTTTTTTTGGACACATTTTTGCTCTGAATGTCAGGTGTTGCTTCATTCACTCTCTCACAAGGCTGGTGGGAACCCCTTGCTGTTTTTAATGATTGACTAACAGTGAACAGTGAATGCAGTGGGACTCTCGAGTGTCTTGCTCTTTTAAAAACAACCTCATCGACACACATAGGTGCATGGCTGAAATTGAGTTGGCATGGAAAAGAAAGCTTTGTGTGAGAATTTGTTGTGTCGTGCTAAATACAGACTATACATTGCTAATTGGAAAGCTTCCTCAACAGGGATTGGGAGAATACAACATGCAGTGGTTTCAAGAAATGTCCATCCCACAGTTAGGGTTAGCGCTGACGTTCTAGTCAACATAATACAATGAAAAACATATATTAAATTAACCTTTGCTTATGAGCATGACCCTATCCAAGTTTAATGTGAATACACCAACACCTAGCTCCATACAACATAAAATGAGTAAAACTGTGAGGGACAAACAGTCCAGTTAGGTTTGTCCTCAATAATGTTTTTTTTTTAAGCTAACGGCCATCCAATCAGTTTTCAGTTCCAGGCTTAGCCCAAGTTCAACTCTGTTGAGTGCTCTTCTGAAACCACAGGAGGCTTAGCCCAAGTTCAACTCTGTTGAGTGCTCTTCTGAAACCACAGGAGGCTTAGCCCAAGTTCAACTCTGTTGAGTGCTCTTCTGAAACCACAGGACGCTTAGTTCAACTCTGGTCTGAAACCACAGGAAGCTTGTCTAATTGGCTGGAGAATTTAGCATCACCAGCTAATTTAAATACTTCATCACATCTCATTGGTCTCCCAAGGATAGACTGTTAAATAGCCATCAGACTGTTAAATAGCCATCACTAGCACATTAGAGGCTGCTGCTGCCTATTGAAATCACTGGCCACTTTAAGAAATGGAACACTAGTCACTTTAATAATGTTTACATATCTTAGACTACTCATCTCATATGTATATACTGCATTATATTCTATAATATTATACTGTATCTTAGTCCATGCCGCTCTGTCATTGCTTGTCCATATATGTATTTCTTCTTAAATTCCATTCCTTAGTAGTTTTGTATATATTGGGTATATGTTGTGAAATTGTTAGATATTACTTGTTAGATATTACTGCACTGTCGGAGCTGGAAGCACAATAATTTCGCTACACCCGCTATAACATCTGCTAAACACGTGTATGTGACACATACAATTTTATTTTATTTGATAATAATAATAATAATAATAATATGCCATTTAGCAGACGCTTTTATCCAAAGCGACTTACAGTCATGCGTGCATACATTTTTGTGTATGGGTGGTCCCGGGGATCGAACCCACTATCTTGGCGTTACAAGCGCCGTGCTCTACCAGCTGAGCTACAGAGGACCACCACCATAATGTCCCAAGTTTACATAATTAATGGGAGAAAATGCTAAATATTATTGCTTTTTCACAGAGTGACAGAGGGGTACAATACCACATGTTAATTATGCCTTTTGTGCTGCCCACATTGTACACCTCAAGATAATGTTCAGACTAAGCTCACTGTTGCAGCTGTTAACACCTCAGGATAATGTTCAGACTAAGTTCACTGCATCATCTGTTAACACCTCGGGATAATGTTCAGACTAAGCTCACTGTATCAGCTGTTAACACCTCAGGATAGTGTTCAGACTAGGCTCACTGTATCAGCTGTTAACACCTCAGGATAATGTTCAGACTTGGCTCACTGTATCAGCTGTTAACACCTCAGGATAATGTTCAGACTAAGCTCACTGTATCAGCTGTTAACACCTCAGGATAATGTTCAGACTAAGCTCACTGTATCAGCTGTTGACACCTCAGGCTAATGTTCAGACTAGGCTCACTGTATCAGCTATTAACACCTCAGGATAATGTTCTGACTAAGCTCACTGCATCATCTGTTAACACCTCAGGATAATGTTCAGACTAAGCTCACTGCATCATCTGTTAACACATCAGGATAATGTTCAGACTAAGATCACTGTATCAGCTGTTAACACCTCAGAATAATGTTCAGACTAAGCTCACTGTATCAGCTGTTAACACCTCAGGATAGTGTTCAGACTAGGCTCACTGTATCAGCTGTTAACACCTCAGGATAATGTTCAGACTCACTGTATCAGCTGTTAACACCTCAGGATAATGTTCAGACTAAGCTCACTGCATCATCTGATAACACCTCAGGATAATGTTCAGACTAAGCTCACTGTATCAGCTGTTAACACCTCAGGATAATGTTCAGACTAAACTCACTGTATCAGCTGTTAACACCTCAGGATAGTGTTCAGATTAGGCTCACTGTATCAGCTGTTAACACCTCATGATAATATTCAGACTAAGCTCACTGTATCAGCTGTTACTACCTCAGGATAATGTTCAGACTAAGCTCACTGTATCAGCTGTTAACACCTCAGGATAATGTTCAGACTAGGCTCACTGTATCAGCTGTTAACACCTCAGGATAATGTTCAGACTAGGCTCACTGTATCAGCTGTTAACACCTCAGGATAATGTTCAGACTAGGCTCACTGTATCAGCTGTTAACACCTCAGGATAATGTTCAGACTAGGCTCACTCAGAGAATACAGATCGACTATTTATTCTATTCTATTTGTATTTGTGGTTCTTCTGAGAAATGGACTACAATGTTTGATAATTTTGAACATTAACTGGATATAACCTGTCGTCGCAGGACAGGGCTTACTCCCAGAGCCTTCTTAGTGTACAAGGCTAACTATGTCCTTCTTAGTGTACAATGCTAACTATGTCTTTAGTAGTGTACAAGGCTAACTATGTCCTTCATAGTTTACAATGCTAACTATGTCCTTCGTAGTGTACAATGCTAACTATGTCCTTCGTAGTGTACAATGCTAACTATGTCTTTAGTAGTGTACAAGGCTAACTATGTCCTTCATAGTTTACAATGCTAACTATGTCCTTCGTAGTGTACAATGCTAACTATGTCCTTCGTAGTGTACAAGGCTAACTATGTCTTTAGTAGTGTACAAGGCTAACTATGTCCTTCGTAGTGTACAATGCTAACTATGTCTTTAGTAGTGTACAATGCTAACTATGTCTTTAGTAGTGTACAAGGCTAACTATGTCCTTCGTAGTGTACAATGCTAACTATGTCTTTAGTAGTGTACAATGCTAACTATGTCTTTAGTAGTGTACAATGCTAACTATGTCCTTCGTAGTGTACAAGGCTAACTATGTCTTTAGTAGTGTCCAAGGCTAACTATGTCCTTCGTAGTGTACAACGCTAACTATGTCTATAGTAGTGTACAAGGTTAACTATGTCCTTCGTAGTGTACAATGCTAACTATGTCCTTAGTAGTAAACAAGGCCAACTACTGTATGTCGTATTAATGTTGTATTTTTTAAAAAGTTTTTCAATAAACAGCTAGTCCCAGTCCACTGAAGTACAGGATACATCAGAGCCACAGGACATTACCATGTGTTCCTGCTTTCAAGGGTTCAGTCTATGAAAGATTAAGAGAGGCTGTCATTTCATTGGGCTTCATTTTGTCTGATAGGCTGTTCCCTGTTTGAGTCTGCAGTTCATATGTTGACATTTTCTTCTGGTACAGTTGAGCACTTGCCTAAGGAATGAATGTCCTCAGAATTAAGAGGGAACTTAATTGAGCCCTGTGGAATCATGATCCTGAACTATCCATGACCACATAAGCACTCTGTGGAACATAATGGGATATATTTGCCTTCAAAGACTGTCAGATTGATGACTTATTTTCTCAACAGCCAATGCATTTTAGGAACCTGCGTCTGGTGAACCGTTTAAGCTGTGTGATTACATTTGCTAGTTTAATAACTGACATGGAATGGTGAGGACAGTTGATGCAGTACCAAATTGTGGAATTTTGTGGGTTTACACTTTGCCCTTGAAATGTATTTCAGCACTGCAGTGATTTAAATCTCTTCTGACTGGTTCTTTCCTTTGTATTATTTATAAATGTCTATAGTTAAGGGTTCTGAGCATCGTAGCCCTCGGGGTTAACTGTGCCTTTTACTTAGCCTTTTACTTTGGTTGGCTGCTTTTGAAGAGGAGGATTATACAGAACCCTGCCGGCCATTCCATGAGGTCCCGAGTTGACATCTTGGTTCAAATTAACGATCATGACAAGAGAGGAGTTCAAAAAAGGGAGCGTAGTTATTGTGGAAACATAAAAATCTCATTCTGAAACATATCTGCAAAGGTTTTGACGAGTGTCCAATTTTCAAACTGTGCTAAGCCAGGTGTTATGAAAGGGTCCTGCAACGCTCATAAAGGCACTTCAGGCGTTATGAATCCCTGTACATTCCTTTAAAATACTGTATGTGCTATTAACCTATATGTGAGTATCAGAGACGACCCTATTAGCTTGTTTATTTAGTAATTTTTTTTTTACTTAACACGTATTTTTTTTCTTCTTAAAAAACGGCATTGTTGGTTAAGGGCTTTTAAGTAAGCATTTCACTGTAAGGTCTACACCTGTTGTTTTCGGCGCATGTGGCAAATACATTTTTGATTTGATTTGATATTGGAACTTTTGTCTTGAAACAATCCATAACACCTCTCTATACACAGTTGACAGTAGCAGGCCCTCTGTGTAGTTTGAGTAGGTTATTCTTATCATTAGCTGAGGTGAGTCAGTCTAGTGGAAGAGACTGTACCTTTTGGCTGTGATTGTGAGTATCTAAGTAATATAACGCAGTCCAACCTTTTACATATACAGGTAACAATAATATGAAAGGTTAAATACAACTAAATTAAATACTGAAAGGAAGAGCAGTAGCAGTTAAACGATATGTAGTCTATACACTTCCTGAACATGGTGCGCTATGCATTCTCTGCAAGAGCTCATCACCATTATGCTGCAGAACTTTCTATAACAGGCAATTTAATGGTTCAATGAGGTGAGGACTAATTCTTTAGATCCCTTTAAGCTACATTTTATTAAACTAACACTAATGTTTTAAACATTAAAAGAACAAACTCTAAAAAGAAACTACCTGTCTTCCACTTCTCTGTGCAATTGATTTCCTTGTAGGAGAAATTAAAAGCAGCCCTGAATCACTAATTAAAATGCACTTTGTATCTTAGAAATGTTACCTATTTGAACAAATTAAGGTTCCCATAAATAAGAATCACACCTAACAGTTTTATTGTCCCCCCCCCAAAAAAAATCATTAAGTATGTTCTTCCTCATAATGACATACATTTTTGTATTTTGCTTAGCTTTGTCACATGAACTCAGTACTTTTCTAGAATAATCCACTAAAAGGAAGACATTATCAAAATGAATGCATTGCTGGAATTACTGTATTCCGACCAGGCACAAACTGGTTGAATCAACGTTGTTTCAACGTAATTTGTCAACATATTGTGACATGGAATCTACATGGAAAATACATTGGATTTGAAAAAAGTAATCAATCAACTGTTGTTTTGAGGGTGAAATTTCAACCACAGGATTATGTCATCATGGTAACCACATTTCAACATAGACAAACCTTGTATAAAATATGTTGAATTTGTACCTTTAAAACAATGTCAAGTCTTCAACGTTATATCCACTATCAGAAGAAGATAAACAATAGGCTGAGCAGCGCCTCCTACTGGAGAATGTATCTATCTACAGTTACCCGTTGGTCTCCCATTCAGGATTTTAACCAAGCCCTGCTTAGCTATGATAATTGAATTGTTCTATATACAGCTACCAGTTGGTCTCCCATTCAGGGTTTTAACCAAGCCCAGCCCTACTTAGCTATGATATTTGAATTGATCTATATACAGTTACCCGTTGGTCTCCCATTCAGGGTTTTAACCAAGCCCTGCTTAGCTATGATATTTGTCACTGACTAGTACCAATGTGCTATCATGAGATCTACACTTAAAAACTAAATAGGTTCACTGTTGATATCGAAGTCATTCCAAAGGGTAGGTTTAACAGAGCAAATTAAATGTGACCATACTTTATCATTCATAAATAATTTAAATGAATAATTGTTATGCTGGATTCACGTCTCCACCTCAACCAAAAATCCAAGATAAAGAATAGGACTAAATCAAATCAAACATTTTGTTAAAGTGCATTTAAAGTTTGATTTGATTTAGTCCTGTTCTTTAACGTTCATTCTTTCTCATTGATCAACGTCTCAACAAAATATGACCCAGTTATCCAAGTTGGAATGATGTGGTGTGTCCAGTGGGTTGGCATTGTATTTGCTACAGTTAAAAATGTTCAATGTGTGATAACACTATGAAGGCTCTCTGGGGAATGTGGCCCAGTTCAAAATTAGCAAAATGTCAATCATATCTCAGCACTACTTATAAGAAACCCCCAAGCCTTTGACTCCGGAGAGCATCACATAATATCCAAACAAAAACCACTTTGCTGTTCCACTTACCCCGACTCTCTGCACCTCCATGAAGACGGCTGTTTGGAAGGACTTCTCCCACACAGCGAGGTCAGCGGTCGTCTCCACACTGAAGGTGTGGCTCTGGCCGTGGCCGACCAGGATACTGAAACAGAAAGGCTCTCCGTCCTGCAGGTCCTCGTCCTGCTGGAGTCCAAGGTAGAACCTGGCCTGGATCCAGCAGTCCTCTGCCATCCATAGCTACAACACCACATCCAACATGAAGTCTCATCAGTTTTATTCACTGGGAACCACATGCCAACTTGAGATGTATAGGCTACTATATGAGTAACTCCCATGTTAGTGCAGATCTAACTCCCATGTTAGTGCAGATCAATGCATGATTCACGCAAACGTTTGAGTAACATGCACGTCATTCAAATTCCGGTAACAGTCGATCCTAATATTTTATTGTGAACTTTGAACATACCTTGTGAACCTTGAACATAACCTCATAAAGGATATACGTGGTTTCAGCTTGTCCCCAGTCAGTTGCACTAACCTGAGATGAGGGGACAAAAGTGATTAAATATATTTATTTATTCATATTTTAAATAAGCCTTCATTTTCTTTATTTTTTTATCAATGTAATGTCTTACAGGCAGGATATAAGATACTTTGAACCACAGTAAATGAACCAACATAGTGTGCTTCACAAACATCATTCGGAAGCTCTGCATTAATCCATTTTACTCAACCAAATAACCTCTGAACTAGGGAAGACGATGAAATGGTTTCATTACCCATGACTTGTTTAGTGGGTGGTTTGAGGTCCAGCTCAAAACTCATTTTATAAATAGATGATGTCATTGTAAAGTATGAATGAAAAGGTCCAGAATAACCACTGTAACTACACACTGCGTGTAGCCCTTGAACATGCTCCCAGCTAAAGGACAATTTAACGGGCTATCATGGTGGAATAAAAGCTGAACTTGTCGATCCTTGTACTCTTAACAGTTAATGAATGAAGAGGAAATCAATGGGGGGTTCATACAGGAGGACTCCTGAAGACGTACAGCGAAGGGCCTCTCAATGCCAGGAACTTGAAGGTACTTGATGGACCAGCATCATTAGCTTGAGGGTTTTCACACACCCAACCCATGTGGACAATCTGCAGAGGCAAGGTTCAAGGGATGAAAATCCATTCTGATGCATTTTTTTGTTCTTTTTAATGAACCTATATGCTATGAGAGGATGTCTTAGCTAAGGATAGCTACAGTTAAAAGATAGTTATAGATGAAGATAGTTATAGAGGAAGATAGTTATAGAGGAAGATAGTTATAGAGGAAGATAGTTATAGATGAAGATAGTTATAGTTCAAGAGAGTTATAGATGAAAATAGTTATAGTTAAAGATAGTTATAGTTAAAAATAGTTATAGATGAAAATAGTTATAGATGATGATAGTTATAGATGAAGATAGTTATAGATGAAGACAGTTATAGTTAAAGATAGTTTTAGATGAAAATAGTTATAGATGATGATAGTTATAGATGAAGGTAGTTATAGATGAAAATAGTTATAGATGAAGATAGTTATAGATGAAGACAGTTATAGTTAAAGATAGTTTTAGATGAAGATAGTTATAGATGATGATAGTTATAGTTAAAGATAGCTATAGATGAAGATAGTTATAGAGGAAGATAGTTATAGAGGAAGATAGTTATAGATTAAAATAGTTCTAGATGAAAATAGTTATAGATGAAGATAATTATAGTTGAAAATAGTTAAAGATGTAGATAGTTATAGATGAAGATAGTTATATATGAAGACAGTTATAGGTAAAGATAGTTATAGATGAAGTTGTTATAGATGATGATAGTTATAGTTAAAGATATCTATAGATGTATATAGTTATAGATGAAAATAGTTATAGATGATGATAGTTATAGATGAAGACAGTTATAGATGAAGACAGTTATAGATGATGATAGTTATAGTTAAAGATATCTATAGATGTATATAGTTATAGATGAAGATAGTTATAGACAATGATAGTTATAGTTAAAGATAGCTATAGATGAAAATAGTTATAGATGAAGATAGTTATAGAGGAAGATAGTTATAGTTAAAGATAATTATAGTTAAAGATAGTTATAGATGAAGATAGTTATAGTTAAAGATAGTTATAGATGAAGATAGTTATAGATAAAGATAGTTATAGCTCCTCGCATGAGGACATACCTGATCATCCGGAGAGCAATATCTGTTAATCATTTTCATCTGTTAGAGGAGAAAACAAGGGATTGTAATGGTAAGTGGAAGTGAGTTAGAGCTGGCAAATCCACAAGCGGCTCCTTGTGTTACCTTACTGTGGCATGGTTAAACCAGCGCTAATATTTTACTGATACTGTGGCCTGGTTAAACCAGCGCTAATATTTTACTGATACTGAGGCCTGGTCAAATCAACAACAACTAACATTCTAATAAGCAAGCTGCAAGTCAGCTGCCGTATCATACAAAGTCACTCTCTGTTGATGAACATGTCAGAGGATGTCACAGTCTATTTCTAGCTTGTTGGTCACCACAATAAAAGTCAAGAGTTCTACTTCACAAGCTCCTCTCACAAACACATTCTGAATGAAAGTTTCACTATCAGACTCCTCATCCATAATTAGGTGACGCACAACTGAATTAATCCTAGTTTAAAAAAAAGCAGCTGTGTAGTTGTGCAGCTCAGAGCAGCATGTCTGGATCCTTAGCGACACATGCAGATAGATCATCAGTGTACTAATCAAAAGGATATCATGGAAATGAGACAGCTAAACACGTGAGAGTATTAATGATGGATTACTACTTAGCAGTAATTCATTATGCCCATGAATACCTCTTTCTAAAGGAGAGAGAGAGAGAGGAGCATTATAATAGTAATCATACTCTATTAGGAGTAGGAGGATTCAAATATTCTAATGCCGCTCAGATTTTAGCACACATCTTCTGTTGAGTTACTTGTGTGCATTCTCAAGTTGGTATTTGGCCAATCACAATCTGGATCCTGTCCATTCAATCTGGATCCTGTCCATTCAATCTGGATTTTTTTTTTTTTTTACTTTTACCTGTTCATACTGTAGACTTACATTCTCCAGTGTCAAATCACTGATATTGGTTGATATTGCTTGAAGCCAGTCAGTGCTTTCTGCTGCAGTGCAAAATTGTAGAATATTGATGCTCGCTCCATCTAAGGCGCAGACTTCAAAGCTGTTCGACCTGGAGGGGTATGAACATTCAGGTTAGAGACGTACAGTACAGTGGGTTGAAAGCACTTTTTGAACTAGAATGGTCAGAGTGGAAAAGCTGTTACGAAGCTGTTCTTTCACTGAAGTTAGGTCAGGCAGTGTTATGGTGCAAATTAACATTAAAGTTATACTGCATTCACTAACCATAGCAACTAATATAGAGCATTAGGGAAATACAGTGCCCTGAAAAAGTATTCATACACACCTAAACATATTCCACATTCTGTAGTGTTAGAGCCTTTATTTTGACTGATCTTTAAAAAGTACTCCACACTTTTGTAAAGAAAGAAGAGTATAGAGAAATAAAAAATAATTACTTAGATATATAATTCTGAGATATTTGATTGCATGTGTAATGGCCACAGCACACCCAAATTACTTCAGGCTCAAAAACAGAATATCAGACGGTTACAAATTACTTCAGGCTCAAAAACAAAATATCAGACGGTTACAAATTACTTCAGGCTCAAAAACAGAATATCAGACGGTTACAAATTACTTCAGGCTCAAAAACGGAATATCAGACGGTTACAAATTACTTCAGGGTCAAGCTCAAAAACGGAATATCAGACGGTTACAAATTACTTCAGGGTCAAGCTCAAAAACGGAATATCAGACGGTTACAAATTACTTTAGGGTCAAGCTCAAAAACGGAATATCAGACGGTTACAAATTACTTTAGGGTCAAGCTCAAAAACGGAATATCAGACGGTTCCAAATTACTTCAGGGTCAAGCTCAAAAACGGAATATCAGACGGTTCCAAATTACTTCAGGGTCAAGCTCAAAAACGGAATATCAGACGGTTACAAATTACTTTAGGGTCAAGCTCTGGGTTTTAGAGATGCCACGACGCCAGGACAGCGGAGTCACTCACCACCTTCCGGAGACATTTGAAATCCCACCTCTTTAAGGAATAGCTGGGATAGGATAAAGTAATCCTTCTACCCCCCCCCCCCCCCCCCCCCCTTTACTCCAACCCCCCCCCCCCCCCCCCCCCAAAAAAAAAGAAGAAAAAAAAACTTTAAAAAAACATGAACAAAAAAATAAAAAAATAAATGAGAAAAAACAAATAACAAAAAACAAAAAAAAACATTGGAAAGTGGTTATCCCACTGGCTATAAGGTGCACCTATTTGTAAGTCGCTCTGGATAAGAGCGTCTGCTAAATGACGTAAATGTAAATGTAAAATGTAGAGAATGTTGAGAAACATGAGGATAATGTTCTGTAGGGGATGTTGAGAAACATGAGGATAATGTTCTGTAGGGGAATGTTGAGAAACATGAGGATAATGTTCTGTAGGAGAATGTTCTGTAGGGGAATGTTCTGTAAGGGAATGTTCTGTAGGGGGATGTTCTGTAGGGGAATGTTCTGTAGGAGAATGTTCTGTAGGGGAATGTTGAGAAACATGAGGATAATGTTCTGTAGGGGGATGTTGAGAAACATGAGGATAATGTTCTGTAGGGGGATGTTGAGAAACATGAGGATAATATTCTGTAGGGGGATGTTCTGTAGGGGGATGTTGAGAAACATGAGGAGAATGTTCTGTAGGGGGATGTTCTGTAGGGGGATGTTGAGAAACATGAGGAGAATGTTCTGTAAGGGATGTTCTGTAGGGGGATGTTGAGAAACATGAAGAGAATGTTCTGTAGGGGGATGTTCTGTAGGGGAATGTTGAGAAACATGAGGGTAATGTTCTGTAAGGGGATGTTCTGTAGGGGGATGTTGAGAAACATGAGGATAATGTTCTGTAGGGGGATTTTGAGAAACATGAGAAGAATGTTCTGTAGGGGAATGTTGAGAAACATGAAGATAATGTTTTGTAGGGTGGTGTTCTGTAGGGGGATGTTGAGAAACATGAGGATAATGTTCTGTAGGGGGATGTTGAGAAACATGAGAAGAATGTTCTGTAGGGGAATGTTGAGAAACATGAGGATAATGTTCTGTAGGGGGATGTTGAGAAACATGAGGAGAATGTTCTGTAGGGGGATGTTCTATAGGGGGATGTTGAGAAACATGAGGAGAATGTTCTGTAGGGGGATGTTCTGTAGGGGAATGTTGAGAAACATGAAGAGAATGTTCTGTAGGGGGATGTTCTGTAGGGGAATGTTATGTAGGGGGATGTTCTGTAGGGGAAATGTTGAGAAACATGAGGGTAATGTTCTGTAAGGGGATGTTCTGTAGGGGGATGTTGTGAAACATGAGGATAATGTTCTGTAGGGGGATTTTGAGAAACATGAGAAGAATGTTCTGTAGGGGAATGTTGAGAAACATAAAGATAATGTTCTGTAGGGGGATGTTGAGAAACATGAGAAGAATGTTCTGTAGGGGAATGTTGAGAAACATGAGGATAATGTTCTGTAGGGGGATATTGAGAAACATAAGAAGAATGTTCTGTAGGGGGATGTTCTGTAGGGGGATGTTGAGAAACATGAGGATAATGTTCTGTAGGGGAATGTTCTGTAGGGGGATGTTGAGAAACATGAGGATAATGTTCTGTAGGGGAATGTTCTGTAGGGGGATGTTGAGAAACATGAAGAGAATGTTCTGTAGGGGGATGTTCTGTAGGGGGATGTTGAGAAACATGAGGATAATGTTCTGTAGGGGGATGTTCTGTAGGGGAATGTTGAGAAACATGAGGATAATGTAGAGAATGCTGAAAGCACTTCAATCAATGTTTGAAATAACCAGAGCTTGAACACACTCTCCCTGAAACTCAGAAATATTGTTACAATGTTACAAAGATCCTTTTGGGAACCTTGGTTGTTGTGTTGAAAATGCCCTTAACAATTTGCAATGCATGTGTACAACGGGCTTTTTATAATTCTTGGTTCCACTGAGTGGTGACTCTGAGCGATGCTCAATTGTAAAGTTAAGTACAAATCCTCTTAATGTGTAGGGTAGGGTGTAAATGCACATGTAAATTGCCCTATATAAAATGCAGTGAGAATATATATCAAGAGTGTGATCAAAACATATAATACAGCAGTTTGGAGATAACATTATCTGAATGAATTCTAGCCGCAATGATAGATACAGCTATACTCTGTTTGCTTGACCTGCTTCTGAGATTGCCTGGATAGTGGAATGTTCTGCTTCAACTATCAGCACACTGCAGCATGGTCATCTAAAACCCAGACTGTCTCTGTCATGGTTCTCTAAAACCCAGACCATCTCTGTCTTGGTCATCTAAAACCCAGACCGTCTCTGTCTTGGTCATCTAAAACCCAGAATGTCTCTGTCTTGATTCTCTAAAACCCAGACTGTCTCTGTCTTGGTCATCTAAATCCCAGACTGTCTCTGTCTTGGTTCTCTAAAACCCAGACTGTCTCTGTCATGGTTCTCTAAAACCCAGACTGTCTCTGTCTTGGTCATCTAAATCCCAGACTGTCTCTGTCTTGGTTCTCTAAAACCCAGACTGTCTCTGTCATGGTTCTCTAAAACCCAGACTGTCTCTGTCTTGGTCCTCTAAAACCCAGACTGTCTCTGTCTTGGTCATCTAAATCCCAGACTGTCTCTGTCTTGGTTCTCTAAAACCCAGACTGTCTCTGTCATGGTTCTCTAAAACCCAGACCGTCTCTGTCATGGTCCTCTAAAACACAGACTGTCTCTGTTTTGGTCCTCTAAAACCCAGACTGTCTCTGTCTTGGTCCTCTAAAACCCAGACTATCTCTGTCTTGGTCCTCTAAAACCCAGACTGTCTTTGTCTTGGTCCTCCAAAACCCAGACTGTCTCTGTTTTGGTCCTCTAAAACCCAGACTGTCTCTGTCTTGGTCCTCTAAAACCCAGACTGTCTCTGTCTTGATTCTCTAAAACCCAGACTGTCTCTGTCTTGGTCCTCTAAAACCCAGACCATCTCTGTCTTGGTCATCTAAAACCCAGACCGTCTCTGTCATGGTTCTCTAAAACACAGACTGTCTCTGTCTTGGTCCTCTAAAACCCAGACTGTCTTTGTCTTGGTCCTCCAAAACCCAGACTGTCTCTGTCTTGGTCCTCTAAAACCCAGACTGTCTTTGTCTTGGTCCTCCAAAACCCAGACTGTCTCTGTTTTGGTCCTCTAAAACCCAGACTGTCTCTGTCTTGGTCCTCTAAAACCCAGACTGTCTCTGTCTTGATTCTCTAAAACCCAGACTGTCTCTGTCTTGGTCCTCTAAAACCCAGACCATCTCTGTCTTGGTCATCTAAAACCCAGACCGTCTCTGTCATGGTTCTCTAAAACACAGACTGTCTCTGTCTTGGTCCTCTAAAACCCAGACTGTCTCTGTCTTGATTCTCTAAAAGCCAGACCGTCTCTGTCTTGATTCTCTAAAACCCAGACCGTCTCTGTTTTGGTCCTCTAAAACCCAGACTGTCTCTGTCTTGGTCCTCTAAAACCCAGACTGTCTCTGTCTTGGTTCTCTAAAACCCAGACTGTCTGTGTGAGTGACAGAGCACAATAGAAATGCCATTAGTCCACAGTGTTCCAATCTTATTGGGAATTGAGTACATTGAGGAAAAGCAAGGGGGATGAGTGGGTAGGATTAACTAAGGCCACCCAGGAAAACACACTGTCAGCTCCAAGAGGTACTGCAGGAGTCTGTTAGTGATAGCCACATGTCTGAAGTGGAATAAATATGGCTTTTCTGCTGACTAGTCATAGAGAGTAAACTGATATAAATAGAAACAGAAAACCTAGTGGACACCCAAGATAACAGCAAACAGGAATATACTGTGGAATCCAAGAGGAAGAAGAGGTGGAATAGCTGGGATACTAATCCAAAAGGAAGATGATGGATAGCTGTGATACTAATCCAAGAGGAAGAAGAGGTGGAATAGCTGGGATACTAATCCAAGAGGAAGAAGAGGTGGAATAGCTGTGATACTAATCCAAGAGGAAGAAGAGGTGGAATAGCTGGGATACTAATCCAAGAGGAAGAAGATGGATAGCTGGGATCCTAATCCAAGAGGAAGAAGATGGATAGCTGTGATACTAATCCAAAAGGAAGAAGATGGATAGCTGGGATACTAATCCAACAGGAAGAAGAAGTGGAATAGCTGGGATACTACAGTACATTGTACAATCTTTGAAAAAAGGGGCTCCAAAAGGGTTCTTCAGCTGTCCCCATAGGAGAACCCTTTTTGGTTCCAGGAAGAACTCTTTAGGTTCCATGTAGAACCCTTTCCACAGAGCCCACTGGGCACACTAGTTGAATCAACGTTGTTTCAACGTCATTTAAATGAAATGACATTAAACCAACGTGGAATAGATGTTGAATTGATGTTGTAGGCTCTGCCCAAATTTATGTGTTCTCTGTCACCTGGAGCTGCATGGAAAATGGTCCAGGAACAAAAAGATAATGCCCAAGGACTAGTCAGCCCTTCCCCCTCTGAGGGGTCAAAATGTATCTCTCTGTTACAGTATCCAGATGACTGACTATTGTGATAGACTGATACGACAGTATCCATGGCTGGTATCTATCTGAAACTTGTTCACTGAGGATAACTCTGGTGCTATCTACATATATATATATATTATCTCTGTGGTTACTGTACAGGGTGAACTCTGAATTACTATATGCAAAAGAGGTTTTATGGTCCTCTCAGGAATTCTGTCTTACTTACATTTGTCTCATCTCCCACACAAGCTCTTAGATGTTGTGGCACCCTGTGGAGATTGGGCCTGGGAGTGTTTAGGTTACTGTAAACTTGGTATTGTTTGATTGGTCAATGGTGGTTGGTTTTGGGTTGAAAGGTTACACCTTCAGATGTCATGAATGGAATGAAAAGCCTTTGATATCTCTCTTATCCTGTATCCAGTCCATAGAGGAAGGTTGTACGATCAATTCTCATTTCCTAGACTTCAAGGCCTCTGGCCTAGTAAGCATCTCTTTGTTCATGCTTTGTCTTCTAAGTTAACCTGAGGATCTATATGCCTAGAAGTATGCTTTGTAATGCTTCTTAATGCTTTGTAACTTGACCTTTATGCCTTGTATGTGAATCCCATTCATTGTACAATGTTAATTAAATATCTGCCTTTGACATAGACAATTCTCAGACCAATTCTTGCTAGTCAATGTCAACTCATTGCCTAATGCTTAGTTGTATATTTTAATAATCTTTATAGAGACAGATTAGCATTTTAATAGGCTAATTGCTTAGTCTTATTATGAGTAGCATATATACACTATATATACAAAAGTATGTGGACACCCCTTCAAATTAGTGGATTCGGCTATTTCAGCCACACCCCATTGCTGACAGGTGTATACAATCGAGCACACAGCCACGCAATCTCCATTGACAAACATTGGCAGTAGAATCGCCTTACTGAAGAGCTCAGTGATTTTCAACGTGGCACCGTCATAGGATGCCACCTTTCCAACAAGTCAGTCCATTTTAGAATAAGTCTGTAACGTAACAAAATGTGGAAAAAGTCACAGGGTCTGAATACTTTCCCGAATGCACTGCATATACAAAAGGGTACATACCAAAAGGGTTCTACCTGGAACCAAAAATAGTTATTCAAAAGGGTGCTCCTATGGGGACAGCCGAAGAACCCTTCCAAATAGCACCTTTTTTTCTAAGAGTGTATGTCCAGGAACAGCTGAATGTGCCTTATCTGCTTACTAGTCAGGGGGAGCACATGGAGAAAGAGCAGAAATAGAACCACGCCGTTAGGCTCTCATCTTCAGCATCATTAAAGTGAGAGATCTGTACTCAACTTCGGCATCATTAATGTGAGAGATCTGTACTCAACTTCGGCATCATTAATGTGAGAGATCTGTACTCAACTTCAGCATTATCAATGTGAGAGATCTGTACTCAACGTCAGCATTATCAATGTGAGAGATCTGTACTCAACTTCAGCATCATTCATGTGAGAGATCTGTACTCAACTTCAGCATCATTAATTTGATAGATCTGTACTCAATGTCAGCATCATTAATGTCAGAGATCTGTACTCAACTTCAGCATCATCAACGTGAGAGATCTGTACTCAACTTCAGCATAATCAATGTGAGAGATCTGTACTCAACTTCAGCATAATCAATGTGAGAGATCTGTACTCAACTTCAGCATAATCAATGTGAGAGATCTGTACTCAACTTCAGCGTCATTAATTTCAGAGCTCTGTACTCACTTTAAATTCCAGTCAATAGGCTAAACTCATATTATGAAGCTCATTTTGGATTCAACAAATAAATAAAATAATAATATTGATCACAACTTTAATAAGAGCAATAGAAACAGGGAGCTGGTGTGGATAATGATGTAGATGGTGTGGATAATGATGTAGATGGTGTGGATAATGATGTAGATGGTGTGGATAATGTGTGGTGTGGTGTGTGTGGATAATGATGTGATGGTGTGGATAATGATGTAGATGGTGTGGATAATGTGTTTGGAATGATGTAGCTGGTGTGGATCCTGCTTTGGATTGTGGGTAGATGGTGTGCTATGCTGTGCTGGTGTGGCTCTGCTGTGCTGGTGTGGTGGTGGTGTGATAATGCTGTAGATGGTGTGGCTGATGGGCTGTGGTGGTGTGGCTATGCTGTAGCTGGTGTGGCTATGCTGGCTGGTGTGGCTCCTGCTGTGCTGGTGTGGCTCCTGCTGTCGCTGGTGTGGCTCCTGCTGTCGCTGGTGTGGCTCCTGCTGTCGCTGGTGTCGCTGCTGTCGCTGGTGTGGCTCCTGCCGTCGCTGGTGTGGCTCTGCTGTCCTGTGTGTGGCTCCTGCTGTCGCTGGTGTGGCTCCTGATGTTAGTGGTGTGGCTCCTGCCGTCGCTTGTGTAGATACTGATGTAGCTGGTGTGGATCCTGATGTCGGTCACTGATGTAGCTGGTGTGGATAATGATGTAGCTGGTGTGGATAATGATGTAGCTGGTGTGGATAATGATGTAGCTGGTGTGGATAATGATGTAGCTGGTGTGGATAATGATGTAGGTAATTATGTAGCTGGTGTGGATAATGATGTAGCTGGTGTGGATAATGATGTAGCTGGTGTGGATAATGATGTAGCTGGTGTGGATAATGATGTAGCTGGTGTGGATAATGATGTAGATGGTGTGGATAATGATGTAGATGGTGTGGATAATGATGTAGATGGTGTGGATAGTGTGGATATGATGTAGATGGTGTGGATAATGATGTGGATGGTGTGGATATGATGTGGATGGTGTGGATATGATGTGATGGTGTGGATACTGATGTCGATGGTGTGGATACTGCTGTGATGGTGTGGCTCATGCTGTGCTGGTGTGGATCTGTGTGGCTGGTGTGGCTACATGCTGTTGGATGGTGTGGACTCATGCTGTCGTGGTGTGGCTCCTGCTGTCGCTGGTGTGGCTCCTGCTGTGCTGGTGTGGCTATGCTGTCGCTGGTGTGCTGGTGTGCTGATTGTCGCTGGTGTGGCTATGCGTAGCTGTGTGGTCTGCTGTGCTGGTGTGGACTACTGCATGTAGCTGGTGTGGATATGATGTAGATGGTGTGGATAATGAAGTAGATTGTGTAGATAATGATGTAGCTGGTGTGGATACTGATGTAGGTAATGATGTAGCTGGTGTGGATAATGATGTCGCTGGTGTGGATAATGATGTAGCTGGTGTGGATAATGATGTAGCTGGTGTGGATAATGATGTAGCTGGTGTGGATAATGATGTAGGTAATGATGTAGCCGTGTGGATAATGATGTAGCTGGTGTGGATAATGATGTAGCTGGTGTGGATAATGATGTAGCTGGTGTGGATAATGATGTAGATGGTGTGGATAATGATGAAGATGGTGTGGATAATGATGTAGATAATGATGTAGATGGTGGGGATAATGATGTAGATGGTGGGGATAATGATGTAGATGGTGGGGATAATGATGTAGATGGTGGGGATAATGATGTAGATGGTGGGGATAATGATGTAGCTGGTGTGGATAATGATGTGGATGGTGTGGATAATGATGAAGATGGTGTGGATATGATGTAGATGGGGTGGATAATGATGAAGATGGTGTGGTATGGTGTGTGGTGTGGATCTGCAGTGCTGGTGTGGCTAATGATGTGGCTGGTGTGGCTCCTTCTGTGATGGTGTGGCTCTTATGTCGCTGGGGTGGTCCTGCTGTGCGTGCTGTCGTCTGGTGTGGCTCCTGTGGTAGATGGTGTGGTTAGCGTCGGTGGTGTGGTCCTGATGTCGCTGGTGTGGCCCTGCTGTCGGTGGTGTGGTATGAAGTGCGGTGCGTGGTGGTGTGAAATATGAGTAGAGGTGTGGATAATTTGTAGATGGGGTGGAGTAGAGATGGGTGCATGTGTAGATGGGTTGGATATGTGTAGGTAATGATGTAGATAATGATGCAGATGGTGTGGATAATGAAGTAGATGGTGTGGATAATGATTATTATTATTATGATTATTATTTAGATGGTGGGGATACTGATGTAGATGGTGGGGATAAGTGATGACGAGAGAGAAAGATCTTGTTCACAGGTGACTCATGCCTCATGTTTACATACACATTCTTGTGAAAAGTTCAACATAACCAATCAGTTATTCAAAATAAGTTTTGCCATGTTGTTAACTCCAATAACACTGATAAGGTCTCATCCTTAATTAGATTCAACTCATAAAATGGAATATCTGCAATCAAGAAGTTGTGTGCATCAGCCTGACTTGTGTTTATTTGAAGGATCTTTAAATCTTCCCATTAATATGCTGAAGCAGTGCTTTCATAGATTATTTTTGAGTGCCAGATAATTACTTCAGATAAAATATGTCCACTCAATCTCATCTTCATTAATAAAGCGTGAAAAGTGTGATTTAGGGTATCAATAAAAATTTGAAAAAAAATAATACTTTCACTTTTTCATATGACTTTTCTTTGGAATTCACAGAAACGAGCACCATAACGCATCATTTGGTATCAGGTTGTGACTAACAGCGATACGTTATATGAGTTCTAAGTAAGAAAGATTACCCACTTTATTTATTTCTAAGTAACAGCTCCTATGTGAGAATGCTTTTCATTGACTACAGCTCAGCGTTCAACACCATAGTGCCCAAAAAGCTCATCACTAAGCTAAGGACCGTGGGAATAAAAACCTCCCTCTGCAACTGGATCCTGGACTTCCTGACGGGCCGCCCCCAGGAGGTAAGGGTAGGTAACAACACATCTGCCACGCTGATCCTCAACACGGGGGCCCCTCAGGGGTGCATGCTCAGTCCCCTCCTGTACTCCCTGTTCACCCATGACTGCATGGCCAGGCACGACACCATCATTAAGTTTGCCGACGACACAACAGTTGTAGGCCTGATTACCGACAACGATGAGACACCCTATAGGGAGGAGATCAGAGACCTGGCCGTGTGGTGCCAGGATAACAACCTCTCCCTCAACGTGATCAAGACAAAGGAGATGATTGTGGACTACAGGAAAAAGAGGACCAAGCACGCCCCCATTCTCATCGACGGGGCTGTATTGGAGCAGGTTGACAGCGTCAAGTTCCTTGGTGTCCACATCACCAACAAACTATCATGTTCCAAACACACCAAGACAGTCGTGAAGAGGGCACGACAAAGCCTATTCCACCTCAGGAGACTGAAAAGATTTGGCATGGGTCCTCAGATGCTCAAAAGGTTGTACAGCTGCACCATCGAGAGCATCCTGACTGGTTGCATCACTGCCTGGTATGGCAACTGCTCGGCCTCCGACCGCAAGGCACTACAGAGGGTAGTGTGTACGGCCCAGTACATCACTGGGGCCAAGCTTCCTGCCATCCAGGACCTCTATACCAGGCGGTGTCAGAGGAAGGCCCTAATAATTGTCAAAGACTCCAGCCACCCTAGTCATAGACTGTTCTCTCTGCTACCGCACGGCAAGCGGTACCGGAGCGCCAAGTCTAGGTCCAAAAGGCTTCTTAACAGCTTCTACCCCCAAGCCATAAGACTCCTGAACAGGTAATTAAATGGCTACCCGGACTATTTGCATTGTGTCCTCCACCGTGCCTTTAAACAGCTTGGAAAATGTCAGCTTTATGTAATGTCTTTAGAAGCTTCTGATAGGCTAATTGACATCATTTGAGTTAATTGGATGTGTACATGTGGATGTATTTCAAGGCCTACGTTCAAACTCAGTGCCTCTTTGCTTGACATCATGGGAAAATCAAAAGAAATCAGCCAAGACCTCAGAAAAGAAATTGTATACCTCCACAAGTCTGGTTCATCCTTGGGAGCAATTTCCAAACGCCTGAAGGTACCACATTCATCTGTACAAACAATAGTACGCAAGTATAAACACCATGGGACCACGCAGCCGTCATACCGCTCAGGAAGGAGACGCATTCTGTCTCCTAGAGATGAACGTACTTTGGTGCGAAAAGTGCAAATCAATCCCAGAACAACTGCAAAGGACCTTGTGAAGATGCTGGAGGAAACAGGTACAAAAGTATCTATATCCACAGTAAAACGAGTCCTATATCGACATAACCCTAACCTGAAAGGCCGCTCAGCAAGGAAGAAGCCACTGCTCCCAAACCACCATAAAAAAGCCAGACTACGGTTTGCAACTGCACATGGGGACAAAGATCGTACTTTTTGGAGTAATGTCCTCTGGTCTGATGAAACAAAAATAGAACTGTTTGGCCATAATGATCATCGTTATGTTTGGAGGAAAAAGGGGATAGCTTGCAAGCCGAAGAACACCATTCCAACCGTAAAGCACGGGGGTGGCAGCATCATGCTGTGGGGGTGCTTTGCTGCAGGAGGGACTGGTGCACATCACAAAATAGATGGCAAATTCTGACCCACTGGAATCGTGATACAGTGAATTATAAGTGAAATAATCTGTCTGTAAACAATTGTTGGAAAAATTACTTGTGTCATGCACAAAGTCGATGTCCTAACTGACTTGCCAAAACTATAGTTTGTTAACAAGAAATGTGTGGAGTGGTTGAAAAACTAGTTTTAATGACTCCAACCTACAGTGTATGTAAACTTCCGACTTCAACTGTACATGTACATATTACCTCAATTACCTCGACTAACCGGTGCCCCCGCACATTGACTCTGTACCGGTACCCCCTGTATATAGCCTCGCCTAGCCTATTTTTACTGTTATTTTACTGCTTTTATTTTTTAAAACTTATTTATTGTTTACTTAAGACATATTTCTCTTAAAACTGCATTGTTGGTTTGGTCTTGTAAGTAAGCATTTCACTGTAAGGTCAACACCTGTTGTATTCGGAGCATGTGACAAATAACATTTTGATTTGATTTACATACACCCAATTTGTAAGTTGCTCTGGATAAGAGCGTCTGCTAAATGACGTAAATGTAAATGTAAATGTATTTTGATTTGATTTGATTAGGGATCTAGATGATTGCCATGTTATCTAGCAGAGGAAGGAATTAAAATAACATTTCCTGTTTTTCCTGCCTTCATTTGATATTGTTTATATCTCTAAAAGAACCAATTCAGTGTGTTAAAGTTAAACCTTCCCATCCTATCCAGGCTTCACCGTCTGGGCCCTGCAGCAGTGCTGACCTTATAACACACTGCATGCCTGTGCATAGATATTGGAGTTAACAACCTTTCACCTAAATGAAATGTGCTAGCAAAACCAACAGCGGCGCTTGGTGAACTGTGCGCCTCAGAGGTGAATTTCATCACACAGGATTACCTTACCTTAATTTATCCGTTCCGGCTTTGTATCTGGAGACTCGGGCCATCAACAAGGGTAGGGACACTGCATCCAGCCAGCGCTTCTCATACTTTGGTTCATTAGCCGAGGGTGAGGAGGGCGAGGATGGAGCCTACATGGTACAAGTCAAGAAGGCAGTGAGGGTCTCCTCTCATTCACTGGCTAGGTCACTATGATCATTATGCATTGGAAAACAACAACGTCCTACTTTCAGTCCTTTTGCACTTGAAAGGATGATATCCTTGTTGCTTCCTAGATACCGTACGCTATTCATTATTAGAGATCATTATGGTTACCTAGCGAGCACCCCTTTTACTTACTGTGTCCTGGGATTTCACAATGGCATTTCTCTACAAGTCAATCGCAGCACCTGGGCACATACTCTTGCACAAATAATTTGCTTTGCCTCCCCTCTGAGCAAATCAAAGGCTATAACCAATTATGGCTACTTTTAAGAGCAAACGATTCTCCCTTTGTCAGTTTATGTAGAGACCAATGCTCAATAATTACACTTGACTTTCGAGTTGTGCTGCGCAACGGAGTGGTAAAGACGACAAGAAATGGAATACTATCTGCACGTCAACACGGATTAGAGTGACGAGGTATCAGTTTTCACCAAGGACCTGGGAAACAAGAGCTAAGCTGCCACTCTTGTCCTTCATATCATTCACTCTTCCATAGCTCGTGATATTTCTGAGACGACAAAAGACCAAAGCGCAATTATTTGGAGCATGTAAATGAATCAATAGGAAGCTGTCCTGGGGACAATGAAAGGAAAACACTGTCAATCATTTCAATGGCAACGCCACCTACAGGAGATGACAAGCTTAGAGAATTATAATCACCTGCAGGCAAGCAAACAAGAATGCTAAAGGAGGGGAAAATAGGAGGAAATATTGTCTGGGTTAAGCATTTTGTGTTAACTATGCAATTATGGAGCACTATGTTTTCCCACCAGCAGTGTCATCTACTCACTTAGAAAAAAAGGGTTCCAAAAGGATTCTTTGGCTGTCCCCATAGGAGAACCCTTTTTCGTTCCAGGTAGAATCATTTTTGGTTCCAGGTAGAACCCTTTTGGTTCCAGGTAGAACCCTTTTGGGTTCCAGGTAGAACCCTCTGTGGAAAGGGTTCTACATGGAACCCAAATGAGTCCTACCTGGAACCAAAAAGGGATCTTCAAAGGGTTCTCTTATGGGGACATGAATCTTTTTTTGTACCTGCTTTAGTTGCAGAGAGAATCAGATCAATAAAGGCCACTTCACCGTTGGTTTCAGTATCTAGTCTACATGGTGCAACGCTGTTTACTGTATTATGTCATTCTGTAGAAGAAACCAAACAAACTAAAACATGACTGTCATTTCAGTCCTACTTTCTCACTATGAAAAACACTTGGATGCATAATCGATACTGCGTGGAAAAATACCACGAATAAAAACAAACGCTTTGAGAAAAATGAAACAAAATACACTGGTGTTAGCCTCCTACTCTCCTGATAATGTAGCATCTAATTTGACTGGAGCAGTTTGTTGTAGCTTGAAGCTTTTGTATGTTTTTGACCTCATGAGGGTATTTTTTTTGGGTGAGGAAATTGACCAGCTAATTGTGTTTGTCAGCCACCTGCCCTCTCAGCCTCAGAATTTACTGTAGAGAACCCAGCCATCTGATCCATTATGAGAACCCAGCCAGCTGATCCATTATGAGAACCCAACCAGCTGATCCATTATGAGAACCCAGCCAGCTGATCCATTATGAGAACCCAACCAGCTGATCCATTATGAGAACCCAGCCAGCTGATCCATTATGAGAACCCAACCAGCTGATCCATTATGAGAACCCAACCAGCTGATCCATTATGAGAACCCAGCCAGCTGATCCATTATGAGAACCCAGCCAGCTGATCCATTATGAGAACCCAACCAGCTGATCCATTATGAGAACCCAGCCAGCTGATCCATTATGAGAACCCAACCAGCTGATCCATTATGAGAACCCAACCAGCTGATCCATTATGAGAACCCAGCCAGCTGATCCATTATGAGAACCCAGCCAGCTGATCCATTATGAGAACCCAGCCAGCTGATCCATTATGAGAACCCAGCCAGCTGATCCATTATGAGAACCCAGCCAGCTGATCCATTATGAGAACCCAGCCAGCTGATCCATTATGAGAACCCAGCCAGCTGATCCATTATGAGAACCCAGCTAGCTGATCCATTATGTCACAGTAAGTCAAACCTGACTTGTTTATGCATAGGTAAGCATGTGTCAGAGTATATTCTCCCAGAGTTTAAATGAACACGTGAGTGCAGTGATAGTGCAGTGAATACAATGATAATGCTGTTAATACAGTGATACTACATTTAATACAGTGATACTGCAGTGATACTGCAGCGAATACAGTGATCACACCGATAATGCAGTTAATACAGTGATAATGCAGTGATAATGCTGTGATACTGCAGTTAATATGACGATAATGCTGTGATAGTGCAGTGAATACAGTGATAATGCAATCCACAGAGCTCAGTGCTCCAGGGTTGACATTCTCTAGCTGTTCTGGAAGATGACAATAGACTGAATAGACACAGGGCAGATTTCCTCTAAAAAGGGGCCTTCTGACGTCCTGCCCGCTCATGCTAAATATTTCATGTTCAAAGACTATCAGGGAATTAAGTATTTTGAGAATTGAATCCGCTGCACTCATTCATAATAAAGCTTATGGTCAGTCAGGTGTCCATACTGGAGATTACAATTTTGGTTTCAATCAGGTGTGAATATATAGATAGCCTTTGCAAGAAGGTCCATTTGCATGGCAGGAAATGTGCATGCTGGCAAAAGATTCTGCAGTGTTTTAGACCAGGAACATTCAAATCACTGTGAAGAATGTAGAATGGGAAACCACACACAATCTAGCTGCAAGACAAGGAGCAATTGGCCAGTAAAAATGATCTGATTATGTGTTTCAGTAAACAGTGCATGTAGATCTCCATTAAGATATTTAAGCGGCTAAATATTTGTGAAGCATTTACCAACAGTCTCGGTTTCAATACTACACTCTGTTTCCCCTACGCCATTAGATCACAGATGAGATCAAGATGTTGTTCAGGGAGACAGGTCTCAGGAGAGTGATGTTACTATGAAAAGCTAAGGTAGATTAAACTAGCTGACACCATCTGCTGCACCCACCTCACTTCAAACTCCTGCTTTTACCGTGGAAACCTCTGCAGCTGAGAAACATCCTGCTGTTACCGTGGAAACCTCTGCAGCTGAGAAACATCCTGCTGTTACCGTGGAAACCTCTGCAGCTGAGAAACATCCTGCTGTTACCGTGGAAACCTCTGCAGCTGAGAAACATCCTGCTGTTACCGTGGAAACCTCTGCAGCTGAGAAACATCCTGCTGTTACCGTGGAAACCTCTGCAGCTGAGAAACATCCTGCTTTTACCGTGGAAACCTCTGCAGCTGAGAAACATCCTGCTTTTACCGTGGAAACCTCTGCAGCTGAGAAACATCCGCTAAATGGTGTGATTCACATGGGATCGCTGTAGCATGTAGGCTACCTATCCGCTCTGGGATTCCATATGAGGGGTCACAACAGTTTCCTGTACTCTAATGTAGTCCCTGTCATACCCACTAATACTACAGCATCTGGAGCTGTTATGAACAGGGGCGACAGTACTTCAGGGCTGAGGAAGGCAACGTCACTTTGCCATGCTAAGATCACTCTGACTAGCTGCCATCTACATCATTGGCTCACTGCCAAGTGATTATGGTTGTAGCAATGCTTTGTTTACTCCAAGCATTATGCTTAAATCTTGCTATGGGGTCACTGTAGGATTCCCTTCAACTGTCAACTTCCATCCTCGTCTCCTCTCCAGACATCAAATCCTCAAACCAGGTATTGGGAGATTTCTCAAATTGTCAGTTTGTATTAGTGTCACATTAATGCATGATACTGGAATCACAAGCACATTTAATGTAAGAAAAACAATGCCATTTCATAAAGGTTTACTTACTGTGTTGTTAGAATTCCCATTTAAATGTAAACCACTGTCAAATAGAGGTGAAGATACTCTTCTACTTTGATCAGCGGGTGGTACAGGGGAGCCTGAAAACCATGAGAGTAAATGTTATATTGTTGAAACATGAAATACTTCATTCGCTCAGCCTCAGAATCAACCTCAGAATCAGTCTCAATCTCAGAATTAGTCTCAGAATCAGTCTCAGAATCATTCTCAGCCTCAGAATCATCCTCAGACTCAGAATCAGCCTCAGAATCAGGCTCAGAATCAGCCTCAGAATCAGCCTTTGTCTCAGAATCATTCTCAGCCTCAGAATCAGCCTTAGCCTCAGAATCAGTCTCAGCCTGAGAATCAGCTTTAGCCTCAGCCTCAGAATCACCTTCATTGGCCAGGTTCATGTACATATACTTAGACAGAACATATAGACAGAATATATAGATACATAGAATATATATAGACAGAACATATAGACAGAATATATAGATACATTGAATATATATAGACAGAACATATAGACAGAATATATAGATACATCGAATATATATAGACAGAACATATAGACAGAATATATAGGTATATAGAATGTATAGACGATAAACATAGTATACAGTATAGAGACAGCATTGTTGCCGCAATCCACAAGTTCACTAACAAAAACAAAAAACACATAAGCAGCAACCAAACACCACGACTGGCTCTCTGGGGACCTCAGGTATCAGAACACCACGACTGGCTCTCTGGGCACCTCAGGTATCAGAACACCACGACTGGCTCTCTGGGCACCTCAGGTATCAGAACACCACGACTGGCTCTCTGGGCACCTCAGGTATCAGAACACCACGACTGGCTCTCTGGGCACCTCAGGTATCAGAACACCACGACTGGCTCTCTGGGGACCACAGGTATCAGAACACCACGACTGGCTCTCTGGGCACCTCAGGTATCAGAACACCACGACTGGCTCTCTGGGGACCTCAGGTATCAGAACACCACGACTGGCTCTCTGGGCACCACAGGTATCAGAACACCACAACTGGCTCTCTGGGCACCACAGGTATCAGAACACCACGACTGGCTCTCTGGGCACCACAGGTATCAGAACACCACGACTGGCTCTCTGGGCACCTCAGGTATCAGAACACCACGACTGGCTCTCTGGGCACCTCAGGTATCAGAACACCACGACTGGCTCTCTGGGGACCACAGGTATCAGAACACCACGACTGGCTCTCTGGGGACCACAGGTATCAGAACACCACGACTGGCTCTCTGGGCACCTAGGTATCAGAACACCACGACTGGCTCTCTGGGGACCACAGGTATCAGAACACCACGACTGGCTCTCTGGGGACCACAGGTATCAGAACACCACGACTGGCTCTCTGGGCACCACAGGTATCAGAACACCACGACTGGCTCTCTGGGCACCTCAGGTATCAGAACACCACGACTGGCTCTCTGGGGACCACAGGTATCAGAACACCACGACTGGCTCTCTGGGCACCACAGGTATCAGAACACCATGACTGGCTCTCTGGGCACCTCAGGTATCAGAACACCATGACTGGCTCTCTGGGGACCTCAGGTATCAGAACACCATGACTGGCTCTCTGGGGACCTCAGGTATCAGAACACCACGACTGGCTCTCTGGGGACCTCAGGTATCAGAACACCACGACTGGCTCTCTGGGGACCACAGGTATCAGAACACCTTGGCCAGTCAGTAGAGAATCTAAAGAGGGCCTTGTGCAAGTATGTCTTGTCAAAAGCATTGGGTCCCTAGCCTGGGACCCGGACCATGTGGTGCATTAGCACAGCGAAGAATACCACTAGGTCTAATGGAGCTCTACTTCCTCTCTCTCATCCAACCAATCAGCATAAAGCTCCACCGCTTCATTGTTGACTCATCAAGCCGACAACTTCAAAGATCCATTTCCAGACTCAAGAAGTCTGCTAGGATTCTGGACACAAGCTATTGGGTGCCAACCTATTTATCACATTGGTAAAAACAGACCAAAAACATTGAACGTAAGAGCAGATTACACCAGTCTGTTGCATGACATTCACTTCATTCTGTCTCCTGCATGCTGTAGAGGCCAGGCAGGGAGGCCAACAGAGACACATGCAAGTCTTTGATATGATATTAGCTTGGCATTGAAGCCCTAGCCTTTTGTTTACAGCAACCCTGAGTTAGATCAGCCGCCACTGTAAGACAAAGGAAGCCTAATGAGCATGGGTTGAGTCATAAAACGACCAGATGACAGTCAAACAACTGACAGTTTCACTTGAGCTTCCCTCTCCATTTTTGAATGCATAGTTACAGTAACAGTATATGGCATGGCACATGGTAATGGTAATGCTACTTCCACTCAGAACTCTTACCCAATGGGAGCTTTAAAAAAGATGGAACTTCCCTGAGGTACCGAACAGTGATGGTGACTTCCTCACCGGCATTCCGCAGGAGATGAACCTGCGGGAGGGAGGGAGGGGGGAGAGAGAGAGAGAAGAGAGAGAGAAGAGAGAGAGGAGAGAGGAGACAGAGAGAGAGAAGAAGAGAGAGAGAGAGAGAGAGAGAGAGAGAGAGAGAGAGAGAGAGAGAGAGAGAGAGAGAGAGAGACAGAGAGAGAGAGACATAGAGAGACATATAGAGAGTGAGAGAGAGAGAGAGAGAGAGAGAGAGAGAGAGAGAGAGAGAGAGAGAGAGAGAGAGAGAGAGAGAGAGCTTATCATCTCAGATGAATAAAATAGCAAGCCACGAGTACATGTAGCTGTACAGCACTTAAGCAGACGCGATGCAACACTTGAACAGAATACAGAATATGCAATCAGCAGTTAAGCCCTGTCTGAAGTGATGTCACTTCAGTAATCACATACAGTACTATAACTTCAAATATAGCCTTTCATTTGCTGGTGAGAAGCTAGCAAAATACAAGCCAACAATATAAAGTAATTACCCTCTCAATGTCTGAGATCACACAAACCCATTATCTGATTTATAGGGTATTTGCACTTGATGTGGCACAGACAGAGCCAAGTCAAGAAATAAGGTATTTTTTTTGCAGTAGGCCTACAAATATACAAATGGTCATGCTTATTTTCAGATTTGTATCCAAATGAAAGCCTTTCCTTTCCAACTACCCAACTGCTATATTCTACTTCTTCCCAACAGCATCAGTTGTTCCCCTTGTTGCTATAGCCTGTGACTACTGAGACAGCTTGGCTTTATACGCTTTCCATTTTTCAAAGTGAATTGCTCATGACGTCTTTGACGTTCTGGAGGTGAATAGAAGAGAACAGCTGTTTGGAGCTAGACAGAGACCGAGAGACCGAGAGAGAGAGAGAGAGAGAGAGAGAGAGAGAGAGAGAGAGAGAGAGACATAGAGAGAGTGAGAGAGAGAGAGAGAGAGAGAGAGAGAGAGAATCACTGATTGCTCTCCTAAACTCGGAGACTCAAGTTCTGTGCAGCCGTTGTCTAATGAATCTACTCTATATCGATTTTTCACAGACTAGAAAACAAAACAAACTAAATTAGTCTCCTGTATGAAATGACAGAGCTCCGCTCGCTTGACGAAGCATGTCTCAGCTTTGGGCAATCACAGGGAATGATTTTTCTTTCAAATCTGGGAAAAGATTACGTGACAATGTCTACGCAGCAGCTAATTAAATTATACTCACAACTTCTTCATGACTACAATGTTCGACATTAATGCCATTGATCTAAACAGAGTGAAGGAGAAAGTATGAAGCACAGTTAGCAAACAACACCCTCATTTAAAAGTGTCATTGTAAATATTGTTCAGTAATCTACAACCATGTGTAGAATCTCATGAGAGAACATACAGTGCATACCTATAGCAGAAAAGTAATCTGAATAAATATACACTTTTGTTTATCGGTTGGTTCTATCATTAAATTAAAATATGTCCATATGTCAAAGTATTTTGTAGCAGTGTCAAATAGCGTCTTTTGAAATTACAACTCCCACTCCAATGGAATAGGGCAGATCAATTAAAAATTCAAAGAGCATATCTCTCTGTCTCTCGCCTCTGACCTCAGGCAGCTTTGACAGATCAAAGTTAAGAGCCAGTGCACTAACCTGTAACATAGCGTCCCCAACAAATAGCTTCCCAGTTTGGTCTGCTGCAGGCGGCAATCGTTGAGGGTCAAAGGTTAATGAAAACATTAGAAAATAATTACTAATTTCTTTCATGATGGAAATAGCAATCAATGTTCCTGTCTACTTCATCTCCACTGACACCACAGAGCTCTCAGGAACACAGGAAACCATGAAATTGGAACTAATATCTCATTTGCAGCTGCGATTTACAAAACAATGAAACTTCTTAACTGGTGAAAAGATTTCCATGTCTCTCTGAAGAAGGATGTTAACTTTCCTCTCTGGGTAATTAAAGACATGTTCCTCTCTGGGTTATAAGAGGCATGTTCCTCTCTGGGTTATTAGAGGCAGGATGTTAACTTCCTGTCTGGGTTATTAGAGGCAGGATGTTACTTTCCTCTCTGGGTTATTAGAGGAAGGATGTTAACTTTCCTCTCTGGGTAATTAAATACATGTTCCTCTCTGGGTTATAAGAGGCATGTTCCTCTCTGGGTTATTAGAGGCAGGATGTTAACTTCCTCTCTGGGTTATTAGAGGCATGATGTTAACTTGGCATGACGTGGTCCTCTGTAGCTCAGCTGGTAGAGCACGGCGCTTGTAACGCCAAGGTAGTGGGTTCGATCCCCGGGACCACCCATACACAAAAAATGTATGCACGCATGACTGTAAGTCGCTTTGGATAAAAGCGTCTGCTAAATGGCATATTATAACTTCCTCTCTGGGTTATTAGAGGAAGGATGTTAACTTTCCTCTCTGGGTTATTAGAGGAAGGATGTTAACTTTCCTCTCTGGGTTATTAGAGGCATGATGTTAACTTCCTCTCTGGGTTATTAGAGGCATGATGTTAACTTCCTCTCTGGGTTATTAGAGGAAGGATGTTAACTTTCCTCTCTGGGTTATTAGAGGCATGATGTTAACTTCCTCTCTGGGTTATTAGAGGCATGATGTTAACTTCCTCTCTGGGTTATTAGAGGCATGATGTTAACTTCCTCTCTGGGTTATTAGAGGCATGATGTTAACTTCCTCTCTGGGTTATTAGAGGCATGATGTTAACTTCCTCTCTGGGTTATTAGAGGCATGATGTTAACTTCCTCTCTGGGTTATTAGAGGCATGATGTTAACTTCCTCTCTGGGTTATTAGAGGCAGGATGTTAACTTCCTCTCTGGGTTATTAGAGGAAGGATGTTAACTTTCCTCTCTGGGTTATTAGAGGCATGATGTTAACTTCCTCTCTGGGTTATTAGAGGCATGATGTTAACTTCCTCTCTGGGTTATTAGAGGCATGATGTTAACTTCCTCTCTGGGTTATTAGAGGAAGGATGTTAACTTTCCTCTCTGGGTTATTAGAGGCATGATGTTAACTTCCTCTCTGGGTTATAAGAGGCATGATGTTAACTTCCTCTCTGGGTTATTAGAGGCATGATGTTAACTTCCTCTCTGGGTTATTAGAGGCATGATGTTAACTTCCTCTCTGGGTTATTAGAGGCATGATGTTAACTTCCTCTCTGGGTTATTAGAGGCATGATGTTAACTTCCTCTCTGGGTCATTAGAGGCATGTTTTCATGCTTTCACTGCCAGAAAGGGGGGGGGGGGGGGGGGTGTTCGAACAGCTAAGTTGAAACAGAATGTGTCTAGTTTCTATTCATTACAATTAAACCATTGCTTTATAACTCATTAGCAGATGTCCATCTACAGCTGAGCAACTGGTTTAGTAGTCATACAGTAACTACATGACATAAAGGCAACGGAACCTAAAATGTTGTACATTGATATCCTTCATAACAGTAGTGTAAATGTTAGATGTTTCAGTCCACATCACTGAGCGATGTTTCAGTCCACATCACTGGCAGATGTTTCAGTCCACATCACTGGCAGATGTTTCAGTCCACATCACCGGGAGATGTTTCAGTCCACATCACTGGCAGATGTTTCAGTCCACATCACTGGGAGAAACATTCAATACTTACCTACTTGATCTTTAAACATCTTTGAAATGACCACAGGCACTTTATGCTCAGCGCCTCCCTGAGAGTTACAAGAGAAAGGTAATTATTAATCACAAAAGTGTAAGATTTATATAAACCTAGGGAAAATATTTCAGCTTTTATGCACCAAACAACCAAGCAGATCATCAACGTTTCATTCCACAGAGAATTGTACCTTGATCTAGCAGACACAGGAACCTCCTCATCTATTACATGTATGACTGACATGGATTCAGTAGCCTTTATATTTGTATTGATGAAAATGTAACACTTACTTTGATGCTTAGACCCAGACCTCCAGCTGCCTGTCTTCGGAGTACGACAGTTCTGTGCTTTAAAAAATGGGAATTGACCTTGGTAAAATAATATAGAAATGTTGAAACAAGGTTGGAGTGTAACACTGTTGTGCTAATCTTCCAGGTGATAGCCTTTACTATCAAAACCATAATATTGAAAGATACAGCATGCCTCCATAGAAAAACATAAAGAAGGCAGTAACAACTTCTTATCAGGGGCGGACTGGGACAAGAATTTGGCCCTGGCACTTTATCCACACCAGCCCACAACACTGCGCACGCCGCCAACTCCCACCGGATACCATTTTTATGTCTTTGTGTCCAGTATCAAGGAAGTTAGCAGTAGTTTAGAATGCTAGTAGATACCCATATACTTCCAGTCATTGTGCTAACGCTAGTTAGCATTGGCTGGCAAAACTACCTCTAACTTCCTTCATACTGGACACAGAGACATACAAAATGGTATCCACGAGTTCATCTGACTCTGTGGAAGTAGATAAAGGGCCTCGTTGTCAAACTCACAAAGTATCCCTTTAATTACTATTACACGGCGTCACTGGTTCCAATAACTTTTACATCCAATTGTGTACTATGTCATCAATTTCGTATGATATGTTACGTCCTGCAAAAAAATATGATAAATGATATGATATGTTACAAATCCAATTCGTACGAATCCAACTTTAAGACGTGTAATAAATAGAATACTGAGGTATTCAAGAAACAACTTGTTTCATCTAACATCCAAGCAGAAATGCATGATTCAAGATATTTTGATGTTGCAAACTTATACAGTGATTGTCATGAATTGTGGGTTCATGGTTGCTATATTTTACTGTCAAAATAGGACTTCCAGAATTTCCAGATTTTTTTTTTGTACAATAGTTATGAATTACATACACTACCGTTCAAAAGTTTGGGGTCACTTAGAAATGTCCTTGATTTCCATGAAAACATACATGAAATGAGTTTGAATAGGAAATATAGCAAAATAATGGGCCTCTGTACGCCTATGTAGATATTCCATAGAAAATCTGCCGTTTCCAGCTGCAATAGCCATTTACAACATTAACAATGTCTACACTGTATCTCTGATCAATTTGATGTCATTTTAATGGACAAAAAAATGGCTTTTCTTTAGAAAACAAGGACATTTCTAAGTGACCCCAAACTATTGATTGGTAGTGTACATCTACACTACCAGTCAAAAGTTTGGAAACACCTACTCATTCATTGTAGAATAATAGTGAAGACATCAAAACTATGAAATAACACATATGGAATCATGTAGTGACCAAAAAACTGTTAAACTAATTCTTAAAATAACCCATGAAGCTGGTTGAGAGAATGCCAAGACTGTGCAAAGCTGTCATCAAAGCAAAGGGTGGCTATTTGAAGAATCTCAAATATAAAATATATTTGTTTAACACTTTTTTGGTTACTACATGATTCCATATGTGCCATTTCATATTTTGATGTCTTCACTATTATTCTACAATGTAATAAATAGTACAAATAAAGAAAAACCCTTGAATGAGTAGGTGTGTCCAAACTTTTGACTGGTAGTGTATAAATATACAGTGCATCCGGAAAGTATTCAGACCCCTTCCCTTTTTCCACATTTTGTTACATTACAGCCTTATTCTAAAATTGATTAAATAAAAAAATCGTTGAAGCACCTTTGGCAGCGATCACAGCCTTAAATATTTGTGATGCTAGAAGCACATCTTCATTCTCCCATTCCTCTCTGCAGATCCTCTCAAGCTCTGTCAGGTTGGATGGGGAGCGTCGCTGCACAGCTATTTTCAGGTCTCTCCAGAAAAGTTTGATCGTGTTCAAGTTCGGGCTCTGGCTGGGCCACTCAAGGAAATTCAGATATTTGTCCCGAAGCCACTCCTGTGTTGTCTTGTCTGTGTGCTTAGGGTCGTTGTCCTGTTGGAAGGTGAACCTTGGCCCCAGTCTGAGGTTGTCACGCCCTGGCTCTGGGGACACTTGTATGTTGAGCCAGGGTGTGCGTTTCATTTGTTTATCTAGTAGGTGCATTTCTATGTTGGCCAGATTGGTTCCCAATCAGAGGCAACGAGTGTCAGCTGGTGCTGGTTGTCTCTGATTGGGAACCATATTTATACAGGCTGTTTTCCCACAGTTGTTGTGGGATCTTGTTTCTAGTTGGTTTGTGTTAGACCGTGAACTGTCACGTTATCGTTTATGTTTATGTTGTCGGAATATCGCTAAATAAAGAGTATGTTTGCCTGCAACGCTGCGCCTGGGTCCTCTGTTCCCGACGATCGTGACAGAGGTCCTGAGCGCTCAAGGTTCTCTCTGTACTTTGCTCCGTTCATCTTTCCCTCGATCCTGACTAGTCTCCCAGTCCCTGCCGCTGAAAAACATCCCCACAGCATGATGCTGCCACCCCCATGCTTCACCGTAGGGATGGTGCCAGGTTTTCTCCAGACGTAACGCTTGGCATTCAGGCCAAAGAGTTCAATCTTGGTTTCATCAGACCAGAGAATCTTGTTTCTCATGGTCTGAGAGTCCTTTAGGTGCCTTTTGGGAAACTCCAAGGGAGCTGTCATGTGCCTTTTACTGAGGAGTGGCTTCCGTCTGGCCACTCTACCATAAAGGCCTGATTGGTGGAGTGCTGGAGAGATGGCTGTCCTTCTGGAAGGTTCTCCCATCTCCACAGAGGAACTCTGGAGCTCTGTCAGAGTGACCATCGGGTTCTTGGTCACCTCCCTGACCAAGGCCCTTCTCCCCCGATTGCTCAGTTTAGCAGTGCGGCCAGCTCTACTTCCATTTAAGAATGGTGGAGGCCACTGTGTTCATGGGGACCTTCAATGTTTTCAATGACCTCCAGAGCGCTTTAATTCATTTTAGAATAAGGCTGTAACAAAAGTGGAATAAGGGAAGGGGTCTGAATACTTCCCGAATGCCCAGTATATGGACACTGTTTAATGCCAAATATAAGGGGTTAAATACGTGAAGAAGAAGAAAACACAAAAACATTGGTTTCCTCATCTTTCTTATATCTCTCAGATAGCACAGACACTCTCAGAACAAACTTCCTTTGGATTTTTATGGGGTACTATCTGTTGTTCTATGTAGTGAATCTGTTACTAAATGCCTTTGAATAGGCTAATAGTAGTAAGGCCCAAAATAGTGTTTAATCAAATAATTGCTATATATTTCTTGGATACTTCAAGGGGTCTTAAAATTCTGAACCAAATAGCTAAATCCTTAGTATGACCTTCTTAAAACAATTCCATATAGCTTATGTACGTACTTGAATGACCTCAGCTCAGCCTATCAGAAAACCCGGGAAGATCCATCTTGCCACGGTTCAGCCAAAGGCTCATTATAGATTAGTAGAACAGATACATATTTATAAAACATGTTAACAGACCCAACGAAAAAATTGTCCAGCCCATCTGGCATTTGCCAGAATTGCCAGACGGCCAATCCGCCCCTGCTTCTTATAGAGTCATTTTAGAGACTTTCAATGCAATATATTAAAACAATTGTACACAAGAGGGCGTGGGTTGTGACTTTTTTAGCAGGTACGACACGAAGCATATAAACTAAAGCTACTATACTAAACCTAAATGTGAATCACATCTTTCATATGCCCATTATATCTAACTAAAGCTATCGTAAGCTATACACATCAGTGTCAGGATGTGAAAAGCTTGAGCCAGCTGAGGTCTCGTCATCATCAGGGATAGGTATTAATGTGAACGGAACTGAAGTCACTTCAGGTCACCTTCAATGAACGCTGAGTAACAGGAGCACAAATATATTTGCACACAAATACCAGTTTGAGTTTAAAGTGTTAGTTATGTGTGCCTGGTTAAGCCAAATATGGGCAAACCCACTTTTTGCGCCCACCCCCCTAATGTCAAGGTAAAGCCTAAGTACTTACATTGAATTGTGGGTCACCCCCTCTCGTACAAACCACATCCAGCTTCTGTATGGTTAACACCTCTTTTGTCAGCTTTAGACGGACATCATAAGTGTTACTGGTCTCCTTGTTATACAGCAGGGCAATTCCAGATTTTGTCTGTTGAGATAGATAGAAAGAAGAAAAAATATACATTTTACCTGCCTGAGTTACTGTCTTGCTATAGTGGCCTTGTTCTATCACTAACAACAGGAGCTCAAAGAGCTGCTTCACAAAAAAAAAATGATTTTCTATTTCTTTGACACTTTTTTTTTTTTCTTTCTTTCCCTCTTGTGTTTTTACTTCTGTTCACATGATATCCTCCATGGATTCTTTCTACGCCTTCTTTTTTTCGTTCCATCTCTTGCTTTTGCCCTAATGGGCTAGGAGAAAAAAATGCAAGGATGATGAAAAATGAACGGAATGCACATTCACAGGCAAATTATTTTTTATCTTTGAGCGCTGTCTTTTTTACTAAAGCTCCACTCAGGTATTATCGGATTTGATCAGAGGTAAAACAGGTACAACTAAACAATACGTTTGATTTAAAATAATGCTTGCCTATGCAGCGTTTTTGTAGAAGTGCTAAGTACAATACAGTGCATTCGGAAAGTATTCAGACCTCTTGACTTTTTCCACATTTTGTTACAGCCTTCTTCTAAAATGGATTAAATAAATAAAAATCCTCACGCAATATTCCATAATTACAAACTGAAAACAGGTTTCTAGAAATGTTAGCAAATTTATTAAAAATAAAAAAACAAATAATGATTTACATAAGTATTCAGACCCTTTGCTATGAGACTCGAAATTGAGCTCAGGTGCATCCTGTTTCCATTGATCATCCTTGAGATGTTTCTACAACTTGGTTGCAGTCCAAGTTGTGGTAAATTCAATTGATTGGACATGATTTGGAAAGGCACACACCTGTCTATATAAGGTCCCACAGTTGACAGTGCATGTCAGAGCAAAAACCAAGCCATGAGTTCAAAGGAATTGTCTGTAGAGCTCCGAGACAGGATTGTGTCGAGGCACAGATGTGGGGAAGGATACAAAAAAATGTCTGCAGCGTTGAAGGTCCCCAAGAACACAGTGGCCTCCATCATTCTTAAACAAAATAAGTTTGGAACCACCAAGACTCTTCCTAGAGTAAAAAGGGCCTTGGTCAGGGAGGTGACCAAGAGCCCGATGGTCACTCTGACAGAGCTCCAGAGTTCCTCTGTGGAGATATGAGAAGCTTCCAGAAGGACAACCATCTCTGCAGCACTCCACCAATCAGGCCTTTATGGTAGAGTGGCCAGATTGAAGCCATATTTCTATAAACCTGTTTTTGCTTTGTCATTACGGGGTATTGTGTGTAGATTGATGAGGGGAAAAACGATTTAAATCAATTTTAGAATAAGGCTGTAACGTGACAAAATGTGGAAAAAGTCAAGGGGGTCTGAATACCTTCCGAATGCACTGTATTTTCTCCAGTGAAGACTTCCCAAGAACTTTACAAGAGGGCCATCACGTCTGCCTTAGAGGAGCCAAAACCCTCAAGAAAACAACAGCACAGAGCACCCTGTCAATCATTCACCCTGGTTTTAATGTCTATGGTTCTCACAGACTGGCCTCAAAGACTAGACGTAACATAGCAAACGTACATTTGTGTGCTGAAATTAGTATGATGTTAAAGCGACCAAGTTAAGTTGCAATTGTGTAAAAACATAATACTTCAAAAAAAAATCCAAGACTATATCTTGTAGAAAAGTTAAAAAGCCTTTATTCAATACCCACTAAACTAAAGCCTTTTAAACTTTTCCACAAGAGATAGTGCCTTGGATTTGTTAAAGTATGATGTTTAAAAAAAATCCAAGGCACTATCTCTTGTTACACAGCTGCAACTTCATTTGGTCGCTATAAGTTATACCCTGTTCTCCAATGAGCACCTCTCTTTGTCTTCATACTTGATGCCAAAGCAGTGCTCCCTCTTTTTTGCATTTTTTTAATAGTATGATGTTACGATTGGTATGGTTACATAAGACAGAATGTTACTTAAGGAAAAAAATGGAAGGAGGGGGGATGGTCAGGAAGGACGAGTGGGCCTAACATGCGAACGTCTAGCAACCCAAAGGTTGTGTGTTCGAATCCCATCACGGACAACCTCAGCATTTTAGCAACTTTTAAACTACTTTACTACTCGTTTAGCTATTTTGCAACTACTTAGCATGTTAGCTAACCCCTTCCCTTAACCCTTTAATCTAACTCATAACCCTGGCTTTAACCCTAACCTTAACCCTAACCACTAACCCTAACTCCTAACCATAACCTTAACCCTAACCTTAACCCTAACCACTAACCCTAACTCCTAACCATAACCTTAACCCTAACCTTAACCACTAATCCTAACCCCTAGCCTAGCTAACGTTAGCCACTTAGCCACCTAGCTAGCGTTAGCCACAACAAATTGGAATTCGTAACATACCATACGTATTGTAATTGGTAAGATATCGTAAAATATCATACGATATGGATGATGGACATCCACAAATGAATACATACCATACGAAACGTATCATATAATAAATAATTTGAGTGTCACAGATTTACGGTTACTATGAGTCCAGCTTGGTTCACAACAAAGATGTAGTTGTACTGAAGCCTGTCTTCACTTCACACATCACAAGACCCAGTACCCAGAACCCTGGTGGTGGGAGAAGAGAGACATGGCATGCACTCTGCCTTCCCATCATGTCAGAGCTCTCCGTCATGTACTTGTGTTTTTTAATCTCCCCTTCTGAGAGGGGGTTCTCAACTGCAGGTGATAATAAAAAAAAAATGGTGTTATTTTATTTAGGTTTTCAAACGTTTTGTTGAACTTTTAGGTTTTCAACCACATGCTACTTCATCAGAATCAACTTCACGTAAAAGTCTTATCCAAATCTCAATTATTTAGAATTGCAAAAATATACTTCTAATCAAAATCTCTGTTAATGCCACTTGTGTTTTCAGGAAACTCAATAAGCTTTCTCATAGAGCAGCAGCATCCATTCCTTGACTCTATAAGGTACTATGTTTGATTCCCATACCGCTTTAGGAAGTAGATGGGATGTAATCTCTTGATAGCACGAACGTTTGATCCATGCCTCTTTTAAAGTTGGAGAGAAGGGTCCAATTCTTTTTCAAAGACAGTTTGGAATTTAGGTCATGCATTTTCCCATGACTTCCAGAAGGAGAGAACTAATTTATTATTCAAAGTTTTATGTAGAGACTAAGGGAAAACCCATCTGGACACAACACAATAATTATATCTGGCATTATATCTCTAGGGGATGCAGATGGGGTGAAAAGAAAGCGCAAATTGCATCTTGGCATCTTATTAGTGCAATTAGCCAATGACTGCAAATAATATCTACCTAATGGGGTTTTCCCTACGTTTGTCCTTGGATGTTTTTGGGTAGTAATGTACTACCAAACATGATGTTAACATGCCCGAAACACCTACCCATTAAAAACCACAGGAAAGTGGATCAGTGCCATAATGACACCATTGTGTGTGAAAGGGTAACTGAATGGACACTAAGAACACTGCCACAATCTGTACAAATAAATAAGTATACATTTATGAATTAATTAATAAAGTTCTCACCCCAATATAAACAGATTTTATAATAATAATTTGGCGGGTGCTTATATTTGTTCTATTTCACATGTGTAGAAGTGCGTATTAACACGCATGTGTACATTGGAAATGTGTTTTTTTGCATATCCCAACTCCCTCTGAGTCACCATTGTCCCTGGAGCAATTATAATTAAGTGCCTTGCTCAAGGGCACATCGACAGATTGTTCACATTGTCGGCATGGGGATTCGAACTAGGGACCTTTTGGTTACTGGCTCAACGATCTTACCAAAGGCTACAATAACAAAATTATGAACTGGGAGGTGAAACAAAACATACTGTACGTTCAATATTCATGACTTTCAGGATTCATGGTAACACTGGTCTTGTGAGTCTTATTTTGACATAGAACTCATCTCTTCTGGTAAACAGTCCCACACTAGTGTCACAAATGAATACAGTGTTGGATAAATCTTTCAAATAACTTATTATTTCTATGAACTGTTTATGTAAGATGTCTTAAATGATTATGCATTATGGGGCAGCTCATTAGGGTAAATACAGTAACACTTTATTTTACAGACCACTACTTAGAACATTTCTTAGAAATTACTTATTAAAATGCTAATGACCTAATAACTGCACAGTAATTACAATTCATTTTACAAAAACCTCACCATGTTCCATTTGGTTCCAGCCTACCAATTGTTTTGAATTATTTTGAAAAATTCCATAATTACAGAATACAAAATGATTATGGGGTTCAAGTTTAGTGGGAGAGCCCCTTTAAAACAGAATTGGAGTACAGTTCATAGCAGTGATCACATAGAGTACAATGGGACAAGTGTGAGAACAATAATTATCCTACTATAGAGACTATTGTGACGCGTACTGAGTATATGAAGAGGCAGGACGCAGACGCAGGAATGAACAAGGTCAAGGTTGACTTAACAATGAGCAAGAGAAATAACAAAGAGCGAGTAAACGACACGAAGCTAAACAATCACACACAACATCATCCGGAACAGTCCAGGGCTAAATAGGGGTGGTGATGAGATGATGAGGTGCAGGTGCGCTGGAGGGTGATTAGGGTGCGTTGGGTTTCCATTCCTGTGTTTGCCTAGGTGGTGCGCTCAGACCGGATAATCAGAGCGCCGGAGGGGAGCAACGGGAGGAGACGTGACAGATTGTGGAAACGGGAGGAGACGTGACACCTATTCCCTATACGTACAGTGCCTTCGGAAAGCATTCAGACCCCTTGACTTTTTCCACATTTTGTTACGTTACAGCCTTATTCTAAAATTGATTATATTGTTTTTTTCCACGTCATCAATCTACACACAATACCCCATAATGACAAAGCAAAAACTTGTTTTTATAAACTTTAGCAAATATATAAAAAATTAAAAAACGAAATATCACATTTACTCAAGTATTCAGACTCTTTACTCAGTACTTTGTCAAGCACCTTTGGCAGCGATTACAGCCTCGAGTCTTCTTGGGTATGACGCTACAAG